GTTAGTAATGGAGACTGAGAATCCTATTGCTAGCAATATACCCAACCAGGTCGAGTTCCTCGCGGTTCTCCCTGGAAACTATCATAGTTAATTCCTAATGAATTCATCATGATGGGCTAACTTGCCTGTTTTCGTTCTCATCTATCACCCTTCACTGGTGTCCGCCAGCGTATCCCGTTAGTGCAGACGGGGTTATCATACCATTTTCACCCATCAAAAAAAAAATATTACAATGGACAATGCTTCTTCTAGTACTTAAGAAAAAGATTGGCCACACTAAAAAAACTCAAATATAACTTACATTATTTTTAATATTGATTTTAAACGCGAATGAATGAACTTCTTTAAAAAGAATTATGTGGTGATGACCTTGACGTATTTAAAAGGGACTGGTTTGAAGAGACGTTGTACAGAAAATTTTGAGACGAGATGAGGGAAACATTTGCCCAGCAGTGGGACGACATTAGTTGGTAATAGAATAGATAGTTTGTTTATAAAAAATGGTGAATTTATTTTCAAAATTTCAGGGTGTAAAATAACCTATAACAATTTTTTATTACTAATTCAATATTTTGGAAATCAAATACTTTTATTATCAATATTATTTATATTACTCATTTTACTTAATAATTGATCCGTAATCAAAATGTCTAAACGATGGTAAGGACCATATCAATCATATCATATGTTGCGTGTTTCAAAAGTGGAGACAGATAAACGCAAACAGTAACTTTGTTTTACCATAGCGAGACTGTACAAACGTCGTTTCCTTGGGTACCTCTGTCATATTCGTGTTTCTGCCGTGAAGCAGTTGTGGTGTTTGCGTGATTGTGTTTCGGTTTAAAGCGTAATAAAATTACACCCTGTAACTCATGTAATAAAAATTAAAACAGATGTATAACACCTTAGTCCTCAGGTATGGTAACGCATGATGGGTATCATGGTCGATACAATACAATCTGTTACATCCATGATACTGTTTATGTCTATAAGTGACGGTTTTATTTTTTTGATGGGTGATAATGGTATGGTATTCCCGCCGGCGCTAACGGGATACGCTGGCGGAGCACCAGTGAATGAAAATAGGCCAGTTAGCCTATCATAATGAATTCATCAGGAATTAACCATGATAGTTTCCAGGGGGAACCGCGGGAAGGTCGACCTGGTTGGGTATATTGCTAGCAATGGGATTCTCAGTCTCCATTACTAACAATCCCTTTCCCCCCTATAAGTGACGGTTACCAGCTTCCATCAGTTGGGTTGTCAGCTTGTTTGGCATACTAAGTTGCATAAAAAAAGCCTATTTATCTAAATTTTTAGGTTAATTGACAGAAATAAAAATAAATTAAGTATCAAAAATATTTTTTCCATTATTATGATATTTCATAAACGTAGTATAACGTAAGAGATTTTAAGTAGATATTAAAAAAAAAATTTTGTCTTAATATTCGTACTCACCAAATTAGATTGGGTCAAATATGGCGTACCAAAATTGCTCTGCGCCCATACCTGCAACTGACAATATAGAGAATTTTTATTACCATCTGACTCGACCCCTCATTTCGTCATCATTCATGGATGACGACCACGAATAATTCTTTACCATCAGGTTATTTCAATTATTTTCTTGTTTAAACTCTCATATCTGAGGTTGGTTTTTTTCCATTTAACACTATCTTGTACAGCATATAGGTACCTCATGGATACCACCAACTAGGAGGCGAGGGAATTGTTAATAACAAGGACTAGCGACCCCATTGCTAACAATCCTCTCTCCCCTACGATCTCTATGTTGTTTACCTCTATTTTCCCCACTTTAAATATCTTCTTAGGTGTGATTGGAGAACGCACAATGTACAAAGATGATCAGAGTCACAGCATATATCAATAAATTTATGGAGCTATTTATGCAATTTTAGTATATTTATTATATAGTAAAAAAAAGGCTAATAAATTTATGTGCTTCTCTGATTATAAAGAGTAACGTAAAGGTTCGTTATACAAAAAGGGAGACAAGATAAAGTTTAACAACTTCTTGTACAACTTGAAATGAGACATTTTGGGACGAGATATCATAGATCACAAACCTCATATTTATACAGAAAAAAAAAACGGAAAAAAAATTAGAATGTTCAGAAAAACAGGTCAAAAGATTCTATTAAATAATGCGTAATAGTTACTAAATAAATCCAATATTTTCATCACACTAATAAAAAAAAAATAGCTTTAGCTACAATTACCTGTTTATAGCAAAAACTCAAGTAAGTAAACGATAGAACAAAATATAGGTAAATGTTATTATTAAATATAAATATTATATTATATTAACAATCTTGAAGGATTGTTTACACTTATTGAGGGATAAAAACAACGTAATTTGAATATTTAGATTGAAAAAAAATTATATGAAAATATATAAAATACGTACTCACTTAATACTTGTAATTATTTACAAAAGATATTTAATAATAATGCCCTTTAGTTATATAATTAAATAGAAGCTTACCGAATGCAGGAGCAAACAAAACAATAGAAACCTCATGTTCCCTGTAAGAACATTCAAGAATAACTAACCACACAATTGATAGTGGGAACGTTTGGCCTCACTTTTGCGGTCATAGGTCGTAGATAAACTTTTTAAATTTTGCGCTGTATGGATGGATAACGCCAAATGACCCCTGCTGAGGCAAATGTGGGGATTCTTAATTATTAACCTACCCAGAAAAATTTAGTTTATCATTTATGTCTGTCGGTAGTAAACAAAAAATAATGTCTTAATAGATATAAATAGAAAGTAGCCAATACAAATCACAAACAATTGTGAGAGTATTTGAAACAGTTAATTATTAAAATACGCTATTATTTGCCAATGACAATATTGAATGATAATGTCGGAATATTACCCGTATCATTAGTCATTCTATGATTGATATCATGTTACGACCTACAATATATATATATATATATATATACTTTTCAACTTTGGATTTGCTTTAAGAGAACTCTTAGAGTTAAGCTCACCTTTGTTGTACCTTTGTTTACCTATATCATACTTTGTTATTAGTGTATACAATAAAATATAAATAAATTTCATTCAAATCCATTCAATAACATTTGCTTAAAACAGTAAAATATATTTATCCATACAAATTCACAAACCTAGGAATATGCGAAATAATGAGAAGCTTGTGAACAATTAGGTAAAGAATTAAAGCCCCAAAATAGTTTTTTTTTTACGTAATTTCAGCAGACAACCTGAAAAATAAGGCGTATTTGTATACAGTATCAGTATTTATTACTACTCTACTATTATATATATTATTTTGTTTATTCCAAATACAGCTCTCTTACACTTTAGCTGCGCACTCATTACATACTTTGGTGGAAAGGGATTGTAAATAATGCGAACTACTAGTTCCATTACTAACAATATACCCTGACAGTCCCCCCTTGAAACAATCATGCTAAATTCTTGGTGTATTGATATGAATGGGTTAACTGACCTGCCTTGGGGGGAAAGGGATCGTTAGTTACCGAGTCTAACAAGCCCATTGCTAGCAATATATCCTATAAAGTAGACCTCCACGCGGTTCTCCCTGGAAACCACGTGATTAATTCTTGAAAAATTCGTCACGATGCTACTACTACTTTCATACTCAGCTATTACTGGTGACCTGCCAGTGCATACCAATATATATATGTATATGTAAGTTACATATAAAATAATGTATTTATAAATGTTGTGAGCAAGGGTGGACTTATCTCTGACAGAGATCTCTTCCAGTCAACCCAGTACAGTAAGACATCTCTAAAAACCTAACTACAGTTGCCATCCCGCCTCCCAGGCGTGGCAACTACAGGCAAAACTCCCCTCATGGGGATGTCTTATGTCCAGCAGTGGACAGTTAACGACTGAAATGATGGAAAATAATGACTTTTGTAATTTACTAGTGCACTGCTTACATACAATAAAAGACAAATATGTTCTAACATAATTTATTGGACATTCCATAAATTAAAAAAAAAAGTATACATTATACAACCGCTACTTAAGAAAATAGCAAACTAAACAGTGTTCCAGCAAAGATGCGGTGAGTTACAGCTTACTGGCAGACTTGTAAGCTAAAAAAACTTAAGTAAAAATCTGTTGTACAGATTTTTTTTTTGTAATTCAAAAATAATTCGCTTTTAGCTTAAATTTCATTATAAATAAATTTATAATTTACGCTATTGAACAATAAACAGTATAAGGAGTTTGCACAGACGAGAGACTTGTTTGTAAATACTCTGTGGCTGATATTTAAATGATCTAATTCTCAGCCAGAAGAATGAATGTTGATTTTGTGGGTGAAAATTAATAAAGTTTCGTAAATTCTGAATTTAAAACATACAGTAACATAAATCATACTACCCACCCTGGCTCCACAGGGATCGATAGATAAATTTCTATTTTTTTTTTTTTTTAATATATACTACATACATTACTTGTAGTTGATAATGTAGCTTTGTACAAGTTTTTTTTTTTATCAGTTAAGTTTTTTTTTTTATTTTGCCATTACAAAGTATAGAAGGAGGAAGGAATTGTTAGTAATGGGGATGTAACAGCTACTTTGCTAGCAATACATCCTATCAGGTCGACCTCCTCGCGGTTCCCTCTGAAAACCATCATGGCTAATTCTTGTGGAATTAGTCACGATGGGCTATCTGACCTGCTTTCATCCTCATCTATCATCGCTCACTGGTACATATCATTATATAGTTTTAAAAACAAAAAAAGGGGCGAGAATAATCTCTCGTCTGCTCAGACCCATCGCTTTAGCTTATAAGCCTGCCAGTCGTATGTAGACTGTATATGGGTAAATATGGGTAACGTTCAAGTATTATGTAACGCAATTTGAGGGGGGAGGGAGGATAGGAGGTCTTGTAAAACATTACGAGTGTTACAGGATCAGAAGGGGAATCCGAACAATACGTTACGTAAGATTGTTTTCATTTTTTATTTAATTAAAACACTAGGGAATTAAAATCTCCCAAGTTGCTAACCCTATTCATTTGTTTTATGGGACATCGCTCGACTGTAATGTACGTCATTTTTGTTTTCGTTGTCAGTAGCCGTTAGTATTGTGACTTTTAATAATGGTCAGTTGGATGTTACATAATCTTTAGAGGCGAGAGGGTACAAAAAAAGGTCATGACGGGATTATGTTATGAATGAATTGTACGTGTACTTTATTTGCATTATACAATATAGGGGAAAACAAGACAATTCATAAATATAACGATACAATTGTATAAGTACAACAAGACGGTCTTATTGCTGAGAGCAATCTATTCAAGACAACTTTACAAGACCTTAGGGTAATAGATGTTATAACATGGGAGGGGGGGGGGGGGGGGGGCGAAGGTAAAAAACTTCAACAATTGCATTACGTAGTAATTGAACGTGAACTATACAAGTAAATTATAAATCACAGTTGCATTACAAATTATCAAATCACTGGTATTTCATTCGGGCGGGAAGCCAATTTCTTCACGAATCGCTTATTAATTGAACCTGAAAATATACAAAAGTAACTAAATGTAAATAAAACATTATTATACAATATACTACATATATACTGGCCGTGTGGTCCCCGCATAAAATAGGCCAGTCCTTCCTTTCCCGTGAGTGTCGTAAGGGCCGACTAAGGGATAGCGAGAGATGGGCAGCAGCAACCCTCTTAAAACATCTCTAAAAACCTGACTGCGGTTGCCAATCCGCCTGCCAAGCGTGGCAACTACTGGCAAAATCGTCTAAGGGTGAGACTTATGGACAGTTAAAGACTGTTTATACTAGATATCACTTATACTAGTTATCATCGTATAATAAAGCCGTAAACGTTGACCATGATATCGACATCTTTGGTAATTCTTTAGTCCAGTTTATAAGGCTTATTAATAATATGAATTGGTAGTTAGGTCTGCTCTAATTGTATAATTGTTACTTAGTATACATTGACGCTTATCTGTGAGAGCTGTATACACCTTTAATTGATGTGTTCATATGGCCTTAAGCTTGGTAGGGAGAAGTGAGATGTTTTTATTCAAGTAAACTTAGATTTAAGCATTTTTGAATAGTTATATTTCACTTTTTACTTACTTATAACATTGTACATTGTCTGCTTAATTGTGATCATACTGTTGGTGTGTCTTTTATAAATAAATAAATAGATATACGAATGGCGACCTCAAGTGCATTGCAGGGAGTTAGTGGATACAGGAGGATCAGGCCTTCCTTATTGCAGTCAATGAAGGAGGCCTATGTTCAGAAGTGGACAGACAATGGCAGAGATGATAATGATGATAATACATACTAACTGTATTCCACAGCTTCACCCGCGTGAAATAATACATAAAGTAGTCTGTGTTACATTAGGACATAACCTATCATAGGTAATGTATCAGATTTCATTCAAATGCATTCAGTAGCTTTTGCGTGAAAGAGTAACAAGTATCTGTCTATTCTCACAAACTTTCCAGTTCATAGCATATACGTACGTATTGTTCACCGCCGAGTGAACAACTTATAGCGAGACAACATCTACCTATTTCAAACACAATTCCGCGTTCTAAATTCAAGTACTTTCAATCTAATTTGTCTATAAAATATTTATTTATTTATCCCCTTATTCATAAAACGCCAAAGTCTCATAAACCCATTTCAGCTATTGAAGTGTTTTGTCTTTTTCTCTTACATGAAATTCCCAATTAAAAAGACAGTAAAATAATGTACATTTATTTGAACCATGTAGTCCCGGGATAGAATAGGCGACCCCCTCCTTTCACGTGGATATAGTAAGAGGTGACTAAGAGAGCTAAATAGTCTAGGGACGGGCAGCAGTATCCTTCTTAAAACACCAAAGCCTAACTGCGGATTCCCATCCGCCTACCAAGCATGGCAACTACTGGTAAAACCCCCCTTAGGGGGAGGCTTATGTTCAGCAGTGGACAGTTGTAACGGTTGTTTTTATAACAAAATAATCATTTATTTGAACATAATTGTCACTCACCTAAATTGTCTATGCGTGTTTGTAACAGATCAGAGGAATGCCCCAAAACCAAACGCGCGTTTAATACTGTCGAAGTAGTATCGCCGCCAGTTCTCTTGCGTTTGTTCTACTTCCGATGCGGGGACCAACACTTGCTTCAGTGTTACCAGCGTATGGTCCTCCTGAAAACAAAGATAATTTTTTATTGCTGTATTAAATTTTTATAGCTGAATTATTTCACTAAAATCATAAAATTGTAACTAGACGATGTTTGTATATTTATTTAAAAAAAAAAATTGATATGATATATATGCTGATATATGTCTGTCTTTATGTCTATTCCGGCATCAAGTAATAATTACTGTACCAAAAATATGTGTGATTTCCACAGTTGTGTTTCTGAAGGTCTAACTTATAATCTGTTTTTTTTTTTATACAACTTAGAATGGCAAACAAGCTGACGGCCCACCTGATGGAAAGGGGTAACCGTCGCCTATAGACATGAGCAGTATCATGGACGGACATAACAGAGTATACTGTTTCGCCCATGATACTACCCATGCGTTACCATTCCTGAGGACTCAGATGTTATTCCTCTGTACCCTATAAATTCACGCCATATCCCACCCTTCAAACTGAAACACAGCCATGCAAACATATTATCTAGTATATGTTATATGTATCTTTATCTAGTATATATATGTATATTTATCTAGTATTTTCTAGTATGTAAAGAAATAAAAACACCGATTTGGAAGAAAGGTTTACATATACAACCTAGAATGGCAAACATGCTGAATGGTATGGTACTGCTCATGTCTATAGGCGACGGTTACCATATTCCATCAGCTTGTTTGCCATTCTAAATTGTATAAAAAAAATTTAAAAAAGGCTCTCCTGATGGAAAGTGGTAACCGTTGCCTATAGACGTGAACAGTACCAGAAGTTTGTGAGAAGAATAAACTTAGTAAATCTAGTCCTTAACTCTTACCTTTTCTTCTATATTAAAGGTAACTTCAGAGAAATGCTGATCAGGCCACTGCTTATATCGCCAGTACTGCACTATCTTCTTCCCAGGGACCAGCTCACGGAACTCCCCAGTAATGTTGCCACCAAACAATGCAAATTTGCCACCCTTCTCAGCTTCCAACTTGACATGTCCCTGATAAGTAATTCAAATATTACAATGATAATGTTAATATATAAAAATTCATTTGATATATGCAAAAAAATATTTATTACTAGATGTATCCCACTTCCTGTGTGAATCAATACATAAATATGTGTATTATGTGCTGAATTAGAACATAATCTACTAGTATGTCATAGTTTATTCAAATCTGTTAATTTAGTTTCTTAATCTGCTAGTTATCGCATGAAAGAATAACAAAATCCATACATCCTTACAAACTTTCACATTTATAATAACAATAACAATGGAGATAGATGTAGATTATTTTTAACAATCAATAAATGTGTCTCAGTCATGAAGACGTAAGACTTGCGTGTAATTACCTTGAAGTCTAATCTTCTAGAACTTAATGAAAATAAAAAGAAACCAACTAATAACATGACCGTAAGATCTGCTGATGTCCAACAATAGTGCAAATCAAAAACAATTGTATATTTCTGTTTGTTACTAATTTCCTTTAGAGAATATTTCTGTGATAATTTAAATAAAAATTAATTAACTTTTTATTAAAAATTTTAAAACGTTTCTATCTTTAGTGAACTCTAATTCTATTAAATGACTATGTGAGTCAAATAGTAAACTCTAATTAATATTATTATGGCAGTAATACAATTTTTGCTAATAGTAGTTACTCTTTTTCTGAATTAGATGTTAACTTGCAGAAGTCCATAAGTGATATGGTCTATATAACTGGTTATTTGATTAGATTTATTTTGTTTAATTCCACTACCATTAGTATGTGCATGACTGCCAACACTCGAAGACTAACCACCACTTCCATGTTAACCATTAATCTCTGACTGATCAATCTTCGAGTGTTGTTCGAGTCACACAAATACTAACAATACAACCAGTAAATTACTCTTCCTTTCTCTTTCTAAAAGAATAATATAGCACCATACTTAATAAATAATTATTATTGAAATTAATAACTAACATATATAACTTATGGCATTATATCTTCAAATATAGTAACTACTTAACAAATGAAGCACAAATTATTAAGAATTGCTTACTTGAGTAAATGCTGTAACCATTTCTATTCGAGTCATTGCATTATAAAATTCCTCTGCACGACATTGAAACTTCTCAGACATCTCAATAGATTTTGTATCTAATTTACAACCAATTTGTTTATTCTCCGGTGATATTACTGGTTCCATATTAATTTTCTTATTGAAACCACTCGTTATGGTTGAGACATTGTCCGGCTTCACAGAGTTTTCACCTTTCTTGGGGAGTATGAGGCCTTTTGAAAACTCTTCTTTGAGACTTCGTATGTACTCTTTGAGTTGCGTACGTATTTCATTTCGGCCCACATTGTGCATGAATGCCTTCACCCGTTGAGCCTCTTCACCGCTACCTTTAATTGTTACAGTCATCTGAAATGTTTGAGAAATAAAAATATTAAAAATAAACCTTCATAACGTAGCTTGTAGCAACTTGAAGAGATTAGTAATGCAGACTATGGGCTCCATTGCTAGCAACATACCCTGTCAGGTTGACCTCCACATGATCCCCCTGGAAACCATCATGCTGAATTCCAGGTGTATTCATCACAACGCACAACTGACCTGCCTTTTCATTCTCACCTGTCATCCCGCAATGGTGCCCGTCAGTGTATAATGCAATATATGTGCTGTTAGTGTGGGCGAGGCTGGCATACTATTTTAATTAATTAAAAAAAAAAACTAGGTTGTAATAGACTTGATGTGAAATGAAATTATAGAAAAAAATTAATTATTATTTTATTGCTAATAAGAAATAAACAGCATTGGGAACATTATATAGTATTATCTCATTCCAAGCCAAGTCGAACTTATAAAACCTAACCTAAAATAGTTACTAAACTATACAAATTGATAGGAACATATGTAATGGAGGAAGAATGAAATAAGATTAGTACTGAATCAAAACTATAATAAATTTACCACCACTTTATTTATATGTGTTCTATAAAGAATTGAAATTCATTTGAATAATCTAGTAGGTGCAAGAAAACAAGACATTAGAATTTCATTATTAGACTGAAAACATACATATGTAATTCAGCAAACATTAATATTATTAGCTCTATTTCTAATATTCTATACTTACATCTACTTCACTGACGTCATTTTCCTCCGACAGATTCGGAATATGCACTTCACCTTTCACAACATCACTGCCACCTGATAATTTTCCTTCCCACTTCAATTTGATGTCCCATTCATAGAAAAATATAAGCTTTCCTTTCCTATTGTTCGCCGACGCTTCGCCTTCGATTTTTTCTAATTCAGTTATTTTACAATCCACACCGTTCTGGGATATTTTTAAGTCATTTAATAATTCTTTCAACCTATCTTTCGACCACGGTCCAGCGTTTTTTTCTGTCCAATGCCAGTTATTTACGTTGGTAGCATCAGGTCGCTCCTCCACGATCCACCGAGGGTCGCCTTCACCCCATTTGGCCATGTTTCGCGAGCTCTAAATATGAACAATGACTGAGGATTTTAAGATTAATCAAAATCGTATGTGACCGTTTGTTCTTTTAACACAGAATATCCCTAGACGAAAATGATAGTGCTCGTCTACGCACTATACAGTCAGAAAATACAATAAATCGCTCGATACAGTGGTAAACGATTTCTAATAGTCTCGTTTCGAGAAAAATCGCGTACAAAACGCACCATGCTACAAAACCACTGACATGACAATTTGACAGTTGAAGACAGTGTTCCCATAGTCTACATAAGAAAACTGCACGTGATATTTAAACTGGCAGTCAGGAGAAAGAATTCCTTTAAAAAAATATGGGCGTCTTTACACTCATAATTTCTTTTAAGTACACTTTTACTTTTAAATAATTTGATGATGGTGACGATTATAAGTAATTTATTTTTTGAGTAATTTTTTTAACACCTTGTTCAATTAAAATAATTGTCTATTTGTTATAGTCAGATCTATATGAAATATTAAGTAAATAATTGCTAAATGTTACAAATATACTCATATTATATATGTAATAAACCTGTAAGTATATATTCTATCAAACCCATATCAGTTATTTACTCCCAATGTTGTGAAATCTCAGCTTAACTGCCGTGCATTGCCCATAAAATTTTAACTACATTACTGGTAAGTAATATGAATCTGGCAACAACGGTATCGTTTCTGTATGTTTCTAGAAAATATTGCTACCAACCTAGTATTAGCATCCGGATGTCAAAATTACGTTTCATTATACGCATACTAAAGTCTTATTAAATAATGGAAAGATTTTTCTTACAAATTGTAATTATGATTTAAATTAAATATTGATTTTATTCAATTTATATACCTTTGAATATAAATTAGCTGAAACCTAATTAAGTATTTTTGAACATCTGTAAATTATTGATACCGATTAATTTCTCTCTTTTCTTCAGTAGGGAAAATAGGTAAAGTTTTATCTGAGAAGTTCAGGGTATGAAAAAGCTAATATGCATAAAGAAACGAATCATAGTTGTCCCTCCCTCAGAAAATTAATATTAAATTAATATTATTATTAATTAATTTTCTTCAATTTTAAAAACCATAACAATATTTGTTTTTAGTTAAAAAAAAAAAAAAATTACGCCTATGCAAAATATAAAATGATTATTTTCTTTCTCATATATAGGTGTGTATCATAGACCTTTCGATTATTGATTATTATATAATATTTTATACATTGCTTATTGATTCGATTATTGACAATATTTAATATAATTAAAATTAAAAAAAAAAATACATGTATAAATAGCGATCCGACCCGGCTTCATACGAATAGACAGAATTTTCAAAAATCAATGCGCTACACTCCACTTAACATTTATGTATGTGATATAAAACATTTCAATCGCTTCATTAATAAAAAAGTTATATCTATGTAAAAAAATCACATATAAAATGCTACCTATAAAATAACCAATCAGATGAATTGGCTAAAACTTTATGAAGGTATTAGGTACTATATTAACATTTAAGTACAAAATAAAATATAAGACCGGATTCATGAAGAGTTCCAATGGGAATGATATACGGGAACTACGTAGAAGCGGGCAACGCCGCGGGAAACGACTAGTTCTTAAATAATAACCAAATAAGTGAGGTACCGAGTTATTCTCTTATTTGGCAATAACGAGCATCGCGACGGGTACAAGAAAATAAAGGAGTGTCTTTCTATACGCTCCTTTATTTTCCCCCCTTTATTTTATATGTATATAAAAATTCCTATTAAGGGTAGGGTTTAAGAGATCTTGAAATACAATTTAATTTTATTATTTCTAATGAATAAAACTAGTTTTATTTTGTAAATAGAATGATCAGGATGACCTATGTATTAAACATAAGACAGATGTAAGAAATAAGAATTTCTGGGAGATAAGACAGTTTATGAATGAGGAACGATCATAGAAGAACAGTAGAGAGTGGTTAAAATAGATAATAACTTGTCATTTTGTTTGGCTGCTAACGATCCAAGACTAAATCCTGGATTGAAGAAGTCAAACTTTAGGTAAAGTAGCAATCATCATTATCATCTCAGCCATTGTCCGTCCACTGCTGAACTTAGGACTCCCCCATAGATTCCCGGTTCTGAACCACCATCACTCCATCTAGTAAGAGGGAGGAGGGGGGAGGTTATCTTATATTGCGTTTGCCCCATCGATTATCGGTTTTGCGAGCTATGTGACCAGCCCATTGCCACTTCAGCTTGCTTTTTCTTCGATCTATGTTGATCGCTTTAGTTCTTTTTGAATATTGTTACGTAAAGAAACTCCGAGCATAATCCTCTTCATAACTCGCTGAGGAACTTGAAGCTTTTCCATACGAGCATCATTGTAAGACCATGTTTCAATTCCATAGGTTATTAATAGCAACACGTACTGGTTTAAGCTCTTCGTCTTCAAAGTAGCAAGATCTGGACAAAGATTGTTGTAAGGGTTAATGTCTCTTGACCGAATTGCTTCATTTGCCATTCGTAATTGCATCAGCTTTCTCATTGCTTCTAAAATCACAATTACTAGGAACCCAAATTAATATTGCCAATTATCTTTTATAATAATACTGATATACTTGGTTGTTATAATTTTTTTATACCGCGAAGCTGACAAAGAAGCATATAGCCCGTCTGATGGTAAACAGTTACTTTAGCCTATGGACGCCTGCAACACTAAGGGTGTCACGTGCCCGTTGCCTACCCTGAAGAAACCTATATATACTCGTATTGAAGAACCCCAAACTGTAGTCTCTGAGCAGTCTCGCCAGGGGGCTCATTCCAAAGCCTGGACGTTCGCGGGAGAAAATTCCTCTGGAACACTGTACTTGTTACCGACCCTGATATATGTACCCTTTTTGAAGAACCCCATACTGTTTCTAGAGTAAACCTCGGCTGGGACCTCATTTTACAACCTGAGCGTATAGAAAATACTTATAATATAGAGAGGTAAGGGATTGTTAGTAATGGAGTCAAATAGCCCCAATATACCCTGTCAGATCGAATTCCACGTGGTTCCCACTGGAAACCATCATGGTTACAGATGGGCAAAGCACCGGGTTTAAACCCGGTGCTTTGGTAAAAACCCAATAAACACCCATAAACTCCCATAATCACCCAAAAAAATAGGTTTTTACGTATTTTTTTGAAAATATGTAAGTAATACCAATAAATTATTTTTATAAATTGTATTGATCAATTCTACAATATTAAATAAAACGTTAACTAATAATATTTCAGGAAATTTTAAAAATCTATATATAATAAAATGAAAGTAATTAATTTTCAGTGTTTTCATGTTGCAGTTGATCAACATGTTGGCCTTTTGCTTCCCGTAGATACTTTAAAATTTCTTCATAACACCTCGTTCGCACACATGGCCGTATATATTTAAATTCTTGAGCCACTAACAGTCCGAAATACTCATTTCTTTTATCCTCTTCTCCATAAATTAAGCATTTAGAACAGTTTGTTTCTTCTTTCAGTAAATTTTCTTTTACTTTATCCTCGTTTTTTTCTTTGTTGCGACGACGCTGGGTAAATCATCTGGACACTGGGTCTCACTATCGCCAAATATATTTGGAGATCGGCTTCGGCTACGGCTTGGCAGACATTTTTTTCTTTCTACAATTTTAAATTAAATTTATTAGAATAAATGCTTCGAACACACGCGATCTAAGTACCTTTTGTGTTTATTATACCTTACCTACCTAGGTATAAAAAGAGTACTTACGTAGATTTTCTTTTATTAACTGTTTTATACGAAGATCTTGATCTCTCAAATTAGCATCCATTTTACTTCCAGTGATTATCAACTAAATTAATAATCCACAAAGTATTAAATAACGTTTTTATGAAATATTTAGCACAAAAACAATACCCTTTAAATATCGATCGTCAGTAACTGTGGCTGACTTACCTATATTCTAGCAAGCAGGACTGCCAGATGTGAAGGGGAAATCCCCAATAAATTGTTGCATGTGACTGATGATGTGAGCATGTTCGTTTCATAATAAAAATGTTGCCAGGTAACCAAAAAGTCGTATGTTTTTGTGCGAATTACGATCATAATCTTTACGATCGTACATTAAAAAATAGACAAATAATAGTATGAGTACGATTTAAATCGTATATCTGTCAACCCTGCTAGCAAGACAGCGACAAAATCACGTTGCATAACAATGTAGCCCAAGCTTATATCTTATGAAATATACGGAAGAGATACGGACTTAGAAAAAACAGAAATGTTGTTCTTTGTGGAAGTCATTGATGAAATTCTATGTATTTTAGCCCGCAAACTTTCTTCAAACAAAAACAGCGCCATCTAGTATCGAGTTCTGTAATTATCTCTTTGTTTATGGATTTGAAGTAAGACCGCCACGCATGCAATACATTATGACTGGGGATTCCCCTATTCGTCGACGCTGAATATGAGGCGACGACAATCACTGTCAAACGTGTTCACTATTACTCTGACTCTGGTAACGTGACTTCCTGGTAACGTGTTAGGTAGGAAAAGCAGTAAAAAAGTGCATATTAAGGGAGCAGATTTGAAATAATATTTATACTTAACAAGAAATAATTAAAGGTAAGTGGATTTTTGAATGATACAATTATATCATGATCACTTAACAATTTTAACTTAAAATTAGATGTATTATTACAAGCTTTTATTTAGCTTGCGTTATGTAAATAAAAGTATGTAGGTATGTTCGTATGTTGATGCAATTATCCTCAATCCTCAACCGACTGGGATAAAATTTTCCATACACGTTTATTTTGGATGATAGTGCATAGTTAGCTGAGAGTCGTCATTGGATAATAATGGTGGATAGCCTAAGATGTGTACTAGATATTTATTTTTAACATAATATGCGTAAGTACCTAATCGAATTAAAGAAGTTGCTGAGAAAAATACAGAACAATACGATAATAAACTAGCGTCTGCGTTTAATCCTCCGAGGAGATGTAATTTTACAAAGGTTTTTTGTATTTATTTTATTATTTTTTTAATAAATTTATTGTAAATAACAAGAAATAATCATTGTAAAAAAATAGGCACTCTATTGTTGAATTTTCGTCAGACCAACTAATCATCGTTCATTTTTTTAGGTTCAATGGGGAGACCTAAAGATTTACGCATATGGGAGCACTACCGTACTTTACCAAACAAGTCTGTTTCTTGCAAGCTTTGTAATAAGGTCTACAAATTCAGTAATGCTGCCAAAATGCTTCAACATCTTATCACTTGTCCAAAATCTCCAGAAACATTAAAAGACTCTATGAAACTTATAAAAGATAGCTCGTCCAAAACCAAAATGTCTGGACTGTCAGAGATAGAGACAAATGATTCTTTTATAAGCCCCTCGTCGTCTGCTAACACTACAATAAATGCTGAGTTTCAAGACACCGATGATCATATAAAAACAGAATTAGCGAGAGCTATATTTGTAACAGGGACGCCATTATCGATGGTGCAACATCCTTTATGGATACAATTTTTCGAAAAATTGCAACCAAAATTTAAAATACCTTCACGTAAAGCTTTAGCGACAAAATACTTAGATAAAATATATAGAGAAATGCGTTTTGAGTTAAATGAGGAACTAAATGCTTGTAGTTACTTACACATTCAGTGCGATGGCTGGTCTAATTTAAGAAATGAAGGAATAATAAACTTTCTTATATCAAAACCTCAACCTGCATACGTTAAAAGTTTGAATACAGAAAGTAATCCTCACACTAGTGAATACCTTAGCCAAGAAGTTGAAAAAGTAATGAAAGTGTATGGAGCAAATAAGTTTCTTGTACTTATTGGCGATAACGCTAGAAATATACAAAAGGCATTCGAATTAACAAAACTCAAATATCCACATGTTGTTCCTCTCGGTTGCTGTGCACATATCCTTAACTTGTTGTGCCAAGATATTGTAAAGATACAAGAAGTAACTGTGTTTATTATGCAAGCCATAAATATAATAAAAACTGTTAAAAGGAGTCAACGATTAAGTTCCTTGTTGATAAAATCAAGGCAGGGTGAAGATTCTACACAAACACTAAAATTGCCTTGTGCTACAAGATGGGGAAGTCATGTTACTTCGTTAAAAAGTTTGAAAGCAAATAAGATAGCTTTGCAAATATTAACAGTTAGAGAAGATGTGGTAATTTCAAGAGATATTAAAGATTTAATTCTAAGTGATGATTTCTGGACGAAGACAGGGGAATGTATAAGTATTTTGGAACCAGTCACTGAAAGCATATTTTACTTAGAGAGCGACCAGAATCGTTTGCATCGCACATACATTACATTTAGAGATGTACAAGCTAAGATACGTTTTGCATTAAATGAGATTTCGACATTGAGCGAAGAAAGCAAACAGCAGATTCTAACATCAGTATCTTCAAGATGCAATATGGCAATGAGGCCAATACATTTTGCAGCATATATTCTAGACCCCAGGACTCTAGGAGTCGAACTTACTCAAGAGGAAGAACTTAAGGGTATGGAGTTTATCTACAATTTAAGCCAACACTTAAGTTTGTCAAATGTAATGGCAGATTTGGCGTGTTATAAAGCTAAAGAAAACTTTTGGGCCAGAGGATTTGTATGGAGCTCATTAGATAGCATTGAGCCCCTAATATGGTGGAAAGGTATTTGTGGTTCCACTGAGTTAAGCAAAGTAGCGATTCGTATTCTATCAGCTCCCTGTACTTCGGCAGCCACTGAGCGTTCCTTTAGTATCCAAGGCTACATACATAATAACAAAAGAAATCGACTTACAACTGAAAGAACTGAAAAAATTTCATTCATTTGTTATAACTGGAATCTTAAACATAAAGCTGAATGCGAGGACATTCAGTTTAATGAAGAAAATACCTTAGAAGCTTTCATTGAGCAAGTAAATGAACATAACAGTTTAGACGAAATAGAGCCTATCGAACCTATACAATTCATCGCTTGTAATAACTCTGAATCTGACAGTGATTGACTGTAGTTTTACATTTTACTTTCATCTCTTTCTTAATAAACTCAAAATCAAATTAAAAGTTTTTTATTCTGTAGGCTGCATAATAATATTGTCTATGTCCAGTATAGTGGACGTCTTGCGGCTGAGATGACGATGATGAAGTACAAAATCATAAACACCCAAAAATTTGGGTGTTTATGGGGTTTAAACCCAATAAACCCAAAACACCCGGTTTTTACCCACCAGACTTTAAACCCACCCAGGTGGATTGCCCATCTCTAATCATGGTTAATTCTAGTTGAATTCGTCTGGATGGGCTAACTGACCTGCATTCTCCTGTCATCCACCACATGACCACCATTCCTCACCTATCATCTTTCATTGGCTCCACCGGTGTATACCGATAGCGAAGGTGGGATTACCGTTCTATTATTATCCATTAAAAACACCTTATAATATAGGTATTATTTATTTAAAAGAATTTTGCGACAAAATTTGGAGGGTAGTTGCGTCGAGTTAACCTTTATAATTATTTATTCTTAACAAACCCATGTATAATCTGTCTCAATAGAATTTAATATTATTATATAAAACCTATAGATCCTTTCTCCTTTCGTGTTCTCAAGGTTGACTGGAAGTAATCCCTTTAAGGGATATTCTACCTATGTATTATATATTTTTGTTTTTTTTTTATACAACTTAGAATGGCAAACAAGCTGACGGCCCACCTGATGGAAAGTGGTAACAGTCGCCTATAAACATGAGCAGTACCATGGACAACACAGAGTATACTGTTTCGCCCATGATAGCCCCCATGCGTTGCCATTCCTGAGGACTCAGGTGTTATTCCTCCGTACCGAGTAAATTCACGCCATATGAAGAGTGGGCCCTTCAAACCGAAATACAGCTATGCAAACACAACTACTTTACGGTTGAAACACGAATGGGACAGAGGTGCCCAAGCAATCGACTTTTGTACAAAGTCTCCCTTCCTTGTTATAACCTAATATCTATATTATAAGTGAATATACAAAAGCACATATTTTTCTTACAACACGGGAGGCAAACGAGCATGCGGCTCACCTGATTGTAAGTGACTACCGCCGCCATGATCACCCACAACACCAACGGCATTGCAGGCGTGCTGCCGGCCTTTTAAAAAAGTATATGCTCTTTTCTTGAAGGTTATGATATTATAATTAAATAAATAATAAAAAAAAAATAAAAAAAAATTATAAAATAGTATACTGATATCAAATAAGAGTAACTACAGATAAAAAAATTGATCGATTAATTGAATGTTTCGATTTGTTACTAATATCTTGTTTCTGTAATAGTTTAAAAAAACTTGGTTACCATTTTATTAAGTCAGAACCGGTTTTATCTTACTTGATACCCTTAAACCAGTTTTTAAAATGACACGCCCCTGATGAAAAAACGCCATTTGTGCTATATACCAGCGAGGAATTGTTGGGGGATGATAAGGGATGAAAGTAGGTCCATAAGTCCATCATAACAAATTCATCAAGAATCAATCACAATAAAAAGAACCCCGTTGCGTTGCCATCAATGAACCGCTAGTCCCCATTACCAAAAAAACCCTTTCTACCTGCAACTACTGATATTATCTTGACCTTAAAATGGAACTAATATACCCAAGACAAGCGTTATAGAAAAGTATCCACATAAATTACTTTGATTAATAAACAAGTCACATTAAGACACCATTCATCATCAATTGGTCGAAACTCGTTATCTTAGTGTGAGTGAGATAATATAGGCTCTCAAATGGCCTCCGATGTAATGAATTCATTCAAACCAGTTCGATCTGTATTCCGGACTGCAAAGCGCCGGCGCACGCACGTCTACACGCGCGGTAATTGCAAATAGAAATCACAAAAACTATGTTCCCATTACGCCGTGTCGTTGGCAGCAAGGTGTGTGTGATTAGTGCATTAAAAGTTTAATTTAAAAATAAACTGGTGCATTCGATATTTGAAATACTCCGCGGTTTTGCAGATACTGGAGCAATGGCGCGCTCCGGTGATAGCTGGCGCGAAACAAGTGAAGAGTTACAGCTCAGAAGCATCAACGCCTCGACCTTTGTCCATGTTGACCGATGATGAATTGGCGATGAAGGATACAAGTAATTTTAACTATTTACATCCAATAATATAAAGTTAACGGGGAAATATGGAGATAGTGTTTTCTACAGATTATTGTATTAAAACAACTATTAATTGAATACGTAACTTACGTATTAGTCTGTACGTATTTTGACAAAATATTTTACAGTACAGTTCTGAAAGAATTTAGATACAATTTTTTTAAAATCGAATCTGAATTTTTTATCAACTTATTAAACTTGCCGCAAGTGGAAAACAAGATGACAGTCACCGTTTTGCAATAACCATAATTATGCATGGATAATTGACAAATGCATTAGGTAACTAACTATACATAATTATAAAACATGAATTAGTCTAAACACAAGTCTATTTAATCTTTTCCGCAACTACGTGTATTAAATCCTTTATATATATATATATATATATATATATATATATATATATATATATATATATATATATATATATATATATATATATATATACCCACTTGTTTATAAAAGTCTATGGTTTTGTCACTTTCTTTCAAATTGAGAATTTAGCGTAAAAGAAAAAGGCAAAAACAGTTAATTGCTTAAAGAGGTTTATTTATGAGAAGTTTTATGTTTTTCCGAATAAAAAGGCTGGTCTGACGTAGTTAAACATGTGTTTATAATTGAAATAACAAAAAAATATCTTTCGCGGTAATCCAGCTTATAATTGAATAACAAACAATATGAATGTTATTTACAAAATGTCAAATAATCAGGATAAATAATTATTTGTCGACTTCTCAATTCTTACAAGCAACTAGCTGACCTGGCAGTTTCAATTTCAATTTGTTAACATTTTTTTTTAATTAAACGTACACGTTAAAAAGTAAACCTATATTCCAAACGTCAGTATCAGTTGAAAAAAATATTTTTTAAAATTTCAACTTTAAGGGGGAACAGTGATGAGTTAAAGAGGGGGGACAACCCACCCCGAGAATCTGGTCCTGAAGAGCCTCCAATTACCTCCATTTTCTAAATCGATATCCATATTGTATACCTGTTTATTTAATATCATGGGCGAAACAGTATACTCTGTTATGTCCATGGTACTGCTCATGTCTCTAGGCGACGGTTACCATTTTCCATCAGGTGGGCCGTTAGCTTGTTTGCCATTCTAAGTTGTATAAAAAAATCTATTTTAGATATTACTTGAAAAATTTTAACTAAAAAAACACTTTAAAGTGTGAGCTGGATAACATCGGCTTCGTAAACTAGGAGCCTCATTCGCTCCAAACCTCTGACGGGCGATCAGGTAGCAATTATTTATCACGTTGAGGTCGATTTTCAGTCACTGACCCTAAAATGTTTTAAAACTGACGTCTTTTCTGAGTTGATAACTTTACCTGGGTCTAATCCGCCACTGAACGATACCACTCGTGCGAAGCCGCAGGCAACAGCTAGTTTATAACATGAAATCAAATTAACCATAGCTACCCATAGACACACGATTCACACAAATACAGATTGCTGGGGGGAAAGGGATTGTTAGTAATGGAGACTGAGAATCCTATTACTAGCAATATACCTAACCAGGTCGACCTACTCGCGGTTCCCCCTAGAAACTATCATGGTTAATTCCTGATGAATTCATCATGATGGGCTAACTGGCCTGTTTTCATTCTCATCTATCACCTTTCACTGGTGCTCCGCCAGCGTATCCGGTTAGCGCAGGCGGGGTTACCATACCATTTCCACCAATCAAAAAAAATACAGATTGCTTCACATCAAAAGAGATTTCTAAAAAATCTCAGCGATTACAAAAAATAATTATTATCATAATCGATTCAGTATTTGTGATTCGCGACAAGTTATGTCATAAAAGGAACAGAGATGAATTGAGAATCACTTCCAACTTCTGTCAAAAGTGTCTTATAATAAATGTCTTATCAACCAACTTCAAAAAGAAGGTTTTCAATTCGAGTGTTTTTTTTTATGCATTTTACCTCATAACTCCGTCAGTTTTTAACCGATTTGGAAAATTCTTTTTTTTTTATCTGAATAGAAAAATTACCAAAATCGATTCAATAGTTTAATTTATATATATATAAAACAACTGAATTTGACATAATTGAAGTCGGTTTTCCTTTTGGGGGCAATCTTTAGCAATTTTATATGCAAGTTTGCATCCACATAGTCTAAAAACTAATGCAACGGTTTCAACGCTTCTTTTTTAAACGAACCTCAGTTCACGAAATTTTCAGTTCACGGTAATTATTATTGGAAATAATTATAACAATAGTTTGTCATTGTTTACCATATAAACACTTAGGTGTTTTGTTTAAAATCTTTCACCTTCCATATTTGCGTCGGAAATGTTTATTTATCTTTATTTGTGCATTATGTAACTCGTACTAATTTAATTTTAAACACAATAAGTTTAAAATAAAATAAAAACCGTACAAGGTATGGAATTTTTTTATTTTAGTAATGCTAACCAGCCATGATTAACTCAACAAGTCGCTTCTTTAAAATTATATACGGAGAAGGCATGGGTAATATTGATACAGATCCGATATCTATTTTTTTTTTTGGTGAAAATGTTATAGTAACCCCGCCTGCGCTAACGGGATACGCTGACGGAGCACCAGTGAAGGGTGATAGATGAGAATGAAAACAGGCCATTTAGCCCATCATGACGAATTCATCAGGAATTAACCATGATAGTTTCCAGGGAAAACCGCGAGGAGGTCGACCTGGTTGGGTATATTGCTAGCAATGAGATTCTCAGTCTCCATTACTAACAATCCCTTTCCCCCCGATATCTATCTATTAGGTTCCTCTAGACATTGGTAGTGGAAAAAAGGTCATTACTCATTTCGATATCGCCCATATTGGTCGGATATCTATTTTCATGTAAGTTAAAAGTCTGTAATCAAATATAAAGTTTTTTTATCCAAAAAAAGATAACAAACTTTTAAAATATTCGTTTGGAACAGTATAGACATAGTAACTAATATATATATATATATATATATATATATACAACCCTAATACAGATTGTCATTTTTTTTATTTTCCATCCTATAACATCGAATCCTTTAAACGTAGTGTAAAAAGGCACTTAGTGAGCCGACATAGTGCGGTCAAGCGTTGAGAATAAATAATTCTCTTTTTGGTTATTTCGTATTCATAGACCACATTGTCTCTGTCTTCACTCAAAACGATGTGGTCCCATGTCATGCTATAATAAAATAAAAGAAATGATTCATTTTTAATTTACAATAGTTTTTGTATTTTATATATTTTTTTTTTGATGGATGACAATGGAGTGGCAGCTCCACCTGCGCTACCGGTATACGCTGGTGGAGCACCAGTGAAGGGTGATCGATGAGAATGAAAACAGGCCAGTTAGCCCATCATGATGAATTCATCAGGAATTAACCATGATAGTTTCCAGGGGGAACCGCGAGGAGGTCGACCTGGTTGGATATATTGCTAGCAATGGAATTCTCAGTCTCCAATACTAACAATCCCATTCCCCCCTGTATTTTATATTAGTCACCCTGCTTTAAAACTATAATGACATTAGAAACACATAAGGAGACCATTCCAGACAATTTATCATATTGAAGACTAGGCAGCATGGTCTCCGACCTTAGCCTGTTCCACAACGGAACAAACGTACTAAAATAAAAAACATAAGAAGACCTACTATAGGTACATTGTACTCTGTGATAACCACTCCATAGAGCTATTTATTAGTTTTTTTTTATGACATAAAGAATTTTAGAAAAAAAAATATAACAATGAATGATGGAATAACGCACCTACCTATATTAATGGTATACACTGATGGGGCGCTAATAGAGGATGAATCGATGAGGTTGTTATCCCGTCGGAACGCTTGGCAGGCGGATTAGCAACCGCAGTTAGACTTTGGTAATGTTTTAAGAGGGCCGCTGCTGCTTACTCCTCGAATGTGAAGTTTCCTTAGTCGATCTCTTACGTCACACACGGGAAAGGACGGGGTGGCCCATTCTATGCCGGGACCACACGGCAACAATGTTTTATTTATGATTTCTATACATTGTTAATATTATGTCAGTAAGTCGGTACCTATATAGATTACAAAAGCAATTTATAACAATTACCTTGCTTTATCAGTGACTATATTTTCACGACTCGTCTTATCAGTATTATGATATTTGACATATACCTACGAATATACATAGTTGTAGAATTTTACAAGCTACATATTATCAGTTGTTGCCAAGAGTTCATTTTCTATTTGTAATAAAATAAATATTTTTTCCTCAAAAATATTTGTTTAATGCTACCAGGAGTGGCACAAATATTGACAGCACAATTAATGATTTAAGATTATGTCACACAAAAAAGATGACCAATTTCAAATATGGCAAGACCAATTATATTGATTTAAATAGTTTTAATTTAGTAATTACTGAACAATTTAGATAAAATTTTCATGCGACTAATCTAAAATTATATCTTTTGAAAAAAAAAATTCCAAATCGGTCTAAAACTTATAATGTTATGAGGTAACAAACATAAAAAAAATATATAACCGAATTAAGAACCTGCTCCTTTTTGAAGTCGTTTAAAAAAAGGTAAAAATGTTTGTCTATGCACGCGTGAATAATAGAGTATTTAGAGATAGAGAGTATATAGAGTAGTAATATGAATTTACTACTCTGTATATGAGAAACACTGATAAAAAAGCGCGCTTTGTTTTTTCTTAAAAAAATATGTACGAGCTATTGGCTGACTAAATTTTATCTAGTCTATGTAATCAAGATTTTAATATCTTACCAATGTACTTTCGATCGATTGAATAATTAGATTAGGTTATAAATAGATAGGTATTGTGAGATCGAGCAGAGTTTATCTTTTAGTTACATTGTAACTTGAAGACCATCAGGTATATGTATTAGATAGATAGATAAACACTTTATTTGAGCCATTTATGACACACGTCAATTAACAAATGAGTTTATACAATCAGATTATTTACATTTTTTAAATATAAAACAAAAGATTAAGTATGTAAATATGTTTTCACCAAGTGTGTGTATGTGTGTGTGTATCATGTATTCATGTATGTATATTTATAAAGTATAATAATTTTGACATAAACCTATTAAAAAATTAGTTCATATATATTCTTCATAATAAAGATTTCATTGTAATATCAAATTAATATTTTAATTTTAGATAGATTTAAAAAAATGGCGTCTCAGAATTGACAACTGTGTCTGTTGCTAAGTGTTATGTTTGCATGACTGTATTTTTTCGGTTTAAAAGGATAATCATCGTCATCTGATGATGATTATTATCCATCCGCTGCTGAACATGAGCTTCCCTCATAGATTGCTATAAGGAACGGTCCTGAGCCAACGGCATCCACTGACTCCCTGCAATGCATTTGAAGTCGTCACTCTATTTAATGGGGAGATGTTCTATACTGCCTTTGCCCTTACTGGGTCGCCACTCAGGAATTTATCGCTTGTCGATTTTTCGAGCTATGTGACCAGCCCATTGCCACTTTAGCTTGCTTAATTATTATTTTATTAATTTTAAATAATAAAAATGAGCACTGTAGGTGTTATAAGCGTATTTAATCTGAGCCCATAATGCTGTTTTTGTTACCATTTTCCTAATAATAAGTTATTACCATAATTCCTTATACCAAATTTCAAAAAGTTAACTGCAGTAGACTTGTCTTGTGCATTAACAATAAATCACCCGTTCGCGAGTATGACGTTTGGCCCACCCATAATTACGTTCCACCATTTAAAACAAAAACAATGTCAATAATGATGTAATAAATCATTACATTTATAATACTATTATATAATTAGATTAGATATGACAAAGTGTCTATTTATATATTATAAATTGCCGGCAAAATAATCCTTATTACCAATATAATATGATATAAATGCACGCATACATGATAGTAATTATAATTGTTCAAATAAAATTTAGTACTCTTAATCAGTCTCGAACTAGACAATGTCTGCGTATTCAGAGATAGAACTGACGGCCACTTAAGGGTTCCGCGAAACATTACTTCTAATGGTTATGCGGATAGCGAAAGGATTGTCAGTCACGGGGACTTTTTTTGTTTTTTAATGGGTGATAATGGAATGGTAACCCCGCCCGTGCTATCGGTATACACTGGCGGGGCACCAGTGAAGGATGATAGATGAGGATGAAGCAGGTCAGTTAGCCCATTGTGACGAATTCAACAAGAATTGTTCACGATGGTTTCCAGGGGGAACCACGTGGAGGTCGACCTGATAGTGTATTGCTAGCAATGGGTTCATTAGACCCCATTACTAACAATCCCTTCCCCCATAGTCACGGGGACTAATAGCCCCATTGCTAGCAATACCTTATCAATTCCCTCCTGGAAACCATCATGGTTAATTCTTTATGAATTCATCACGATGGGCTAACTGACCTGCCCTTTTATTCTGATCTATCATTCCTAACTGGTGCCCCGCCAGCGTATAACGCTGATAACGGAAACCATTCCGTTATCATCCATTGAAAAAAAACGACCTCATAGCTATTTATTATAGGTATTGCTAAGAATGGGGACTAATAGCCCCATTGCTAACAATCCTCATGTATGCAATATAGAGATAGAGAGGGACAAAGGCTACATTTTTTCCTAATTAATCAGTGGGTCTTGGTCACGCGGACAAAGTCGCGGGCAACGAGTAATAAAACTAACTATACGAAACGATAGGTAACTATTATGTAGCATTATCAATAAGATTGTTGATATTCAATAACCTCCAAACGAGTTTATCGCGGTACGGTATATTTTTATAACATTTATTCTTGCCAGTAATGTAAAAAATTAATAAAAAGAAAAACTACTTCCCTGTTTCATTATTATACGAAATAAAATAAAAGGAGATTTTTTTTTTAATTCTCCCGTATTTTTTTTTTTGTTTGTTTGTTACGCGATATTTTCACAGAGTTATAACGGATTTTGACAATTCATAAACTCTGTTAATTTTTATAAACTGTAATCCCCTTATTCATAAAAACTTAAACAACCACTTCCCTGTTTCATTATTATACGATTTAAAATAAAAACATAAAGTTTTCATTTGTCCTGTATTTCTTTTTTGTTTGTTACGCTATATCTTCATAAAGTTATAACCGATTTTAACAATTCATAAACTCTATTCATTTTTATAAACTCCCACTACCTACCTTATTTATAAAAACTAATACTTTCTACAAACCTATTCTAATTATTACACTGTTTTGTCACTTTCTTTCAAATTGGGAATTTAATGTAAAAGAAAGAAACAGAACAGTAGGAAAGCTAAAATAGGTTTATTAAAAATTTGACGTTTTTATAAAAACGGGAGATAGGGGTTTTTCAATGGGTGGGAATGGAATGGTAACCCCGCCTGCGCTATCGATATGCACTGATGGGGCACCATTGAGGGATGACAAGTGAGGATTAAGGTAGGTCAGTTGGCCTATCGTGGCGAATTCCACAATTATTTAGGATTTAACTACGATGGTTTCCAGGGGTAACCGCGTGGAGATCGATCCCGTTACTAACAGTCCCTTTCCCCCGGGAATTAAGGTTTACTCTGGTATTATTGCTGTTATTTTTCTGCAACAATTTCATTACTCCATAAGAAATGTTACACAATTAGTTAAGTATACAAAAATGTTTGCCTAAAATTGTGGAAAAATTACCCAATTTCGTAATGCTCCTGTACTACATATACATTCAAAAACTCCCTGAAACATGTTTTCTAAACCGTTACTCATTATAGATATTCTTCTAATAGGTATAAAACATCTATACAAAAAATACATTATTCAATCAATCTCGAAGTTGAATATCTGTACCTAAGTATTCATTATTAACTACTTCAAACAAGAGTCCAATGTACAAGGAAACTAGTACTATTGCTTATACTTTGCTATTACCTAATAATATCAGCTATTTTGTATACAATAATTATTTTACCTTCATTCTATCTACTTACTTATTTACTCTACTATGAAGCATTTACTCTAGCACACTACACTACGAGAGAAGAGTAAGTTCTACCCAAAGGGCTCCAGCTGAAAATCAACGCTGTAGGTCCTTGGCTGCAGCATAACACTGAGCGGGGAATCATATCGGCAAACATTGTCTAAAACCTTTACCTTCTATACATGTTATGTTACTCTGTATGAACCTTTGTAACTGTAACAATGCTGAATAAACTATTATCAACATTTCTGTTTTATAATAAAGTTTACTTTCAGTCTGACTGCATACAAATTTATTTATTAGACAATTTACTTTACAGTTAGAAAGTTGGCCACCGAACAAATATTACCACTGGTGAGAAAAATGGAGGATGACCACCGCATCGATGATGGAATCAGACAGTTGCTGTTCGATAATGGTGTACGTACAGTTTCAATCTAATTGACATTCCACATTTAATTGAATTTACAGAGTACAGAGGAATAACACCTGAGTCCTCAGGAATGGCAACGCATGGGGGGGTATCATGGGTGAAAGAGTATACTCTGTTATGTCCATGGTACTGCTCGTGTCTATAGGCGACGGTTACCACTTTCCATCAGGTGGGCCGTCAGCTTGTTTACCATTCTAAGTTGCATAAAAAAAATTATAACAATGGTGTCCATATAATAACGGGGAAAACATACTATATATTATCACGCATTTTCATCCTCAGTATTCATAAGAACTAATAAGGCTGTATTGAAATGAGACACGGTTTATTTTGCAATGGCATAATTAAAAACTAAGAACTTTTGTTTTTACTTCGGCGCCTAGAATTTTACTATGGTCATAGCATTAGGGGGATGTCAAGAGAAGTGCTAGCGGATGCTCTGGGAGTACTTTTTTAATGAATGATAATGGAATGTTAACTTCGCCTCTGCTATCGGTTTACTTTGGCAAGGTATCAGTGAGTGATGATAGGTGAGGATGAAACCAAGTCAGTTAGCATGAATTCGACAAAAATTAACCACAATGGTTTCCCGGGGGAACCGTGTGTAGATCGACCTAATAGTGAATATTGCTAACAATAGGAACTAACGTCTTCATTACTAACAATCCCTATCCTCCCCCTCTGTGAGTACTAGTAAGCCCCTTCCTCGTCGAAAAGACTTGTAGTAAGCTGTACCCTGCTCTTATTAAAAGACCCATAACCAACAATGTATGCGGGGGGGGGGGGGAAGGGATTGTTAGTTATGGGGACTGAGAATCCCATTGCTAGCAATATACCCAACCAGGCCGACCTCCTCGCGGTTCCCCCTGTAAACTATCATGGTTAATTCCTGATGAATTCATCATGATGGGCTAACTGGCCCGTTTTCATTCTCATCTATCACCCTTCACTGGTGCTCCGCCAGCGTATCCCGTTAGCGCAGGTGGGGTTACCATACCATTTTCACCCATCAAAAAAAAAACAATGTATGCGATAGTTATGGATTCTCTCTGCCTATTCCGAACTTGTTGATCTGACTTACAAGTACATTAATAATACTTTCAATTGTAAATTTTGAAAAAGCGACAGAAATACAAGCAAGATAGAAGTACTCATGCAGATGTCTATCCAAAATCTATATCCAGCAAACGAATTATCACTTCCCATATGTTTTCAGCTTATGGGGATCGAAACACCTACAGAATACAGCGGCAGTGGGTGCGGATTCCTGACCATGATGCTGGTCGTAGAAGAACTGTCGAGGGTGGACCCTGCAGTGGCTGCTTTCGTCGATATACACAACACACTGGTCAACTCGCTGTTCATGAAGTTGGGGACCGAGGAACAAAAGCAGAAGTACTTAACGAAACTCTGCACGGAATACGTGAGTATTTATAAGATCTTACTTTAAATTTGATGGTGAATCTACAATAGATATCAGGAGTACTATCTCATCAGAAGCGTCTTCATCAAGAAGAGAGACCGACTTCTAAAAAACAGAGGTTCTCAATTCGAATTTATTTTTTCTTATGTTTGTGACCTCACTTTTAAACCGTTACTTATAAACCGATTTGGACAATTCTTTTTGTTTTTATCTAAAACGATATATTTATAGATTTTATCGAAGTCGGTTTAGTAGTTTAGTTTTTAAATCCAAATAACTGTTTTTACTACAATTACAATTTTAAATAATTTGTCTGGTCTTGACATGTACCAGTGTGTTTGTGTAGTTCTGTACAAATCTGTATTGTTAAGATTTTTTTTTATAAAAAATTAATTACCCATCTGTATTTTAAATATTTGAAAAGTTCTTCTATTTTGTCGTAATTTAAAGTTTTTTTCTCAAACATGCTTGGAAATGGGAGCATTATTTTGACAATCTTCTTCGAGATAAATCAAAATTGCCGTACTGGCCAGATAAATTACTATGTGAACTCATATCTGTCCTGTAATTTAAAAATGGAATAACCTTTTACTTCGAAACATGGCTAAGAAGGAGATAACTAATAAAAAGTTTTATTTAAGTTTCGAACTGGCTTGCAAATAGAAAGCTGTTTATTGAAAAAAAAAAAACAAAGGAACATTATGTCGCGTGAAAAATTATTATTGTTCGTTATTCGTCATTGAACTTAAAAAGTAAAACTGTGTTTTTTCGAACTGGCTTGCAAATAGAAAGCTGTTTATTGAAAAAAAAAAAACAAAGGAACATTATGTCGCGTGAAAAATTATTATTGTTCGTTATTCGTCATTGAACTTAAAAAGTAAAACTGTGTTTTTGATTTCCGCGCATTGTTTGAGAAAAGTACTATACAAGCCTTGGCCATAACTAGACATTGATGGACTCACGTATGTGTGCCTCGGCTAGGCCTCGGCCCACATTTGCACGTTCGTCCATCAATGTCTCAGTTGCTGGCCGCTGCAGTAATGTACTATAACCATTTAGTAATTACTCCTTTACAATCAAATTTGTTTAGCTTATAAATATTCAATTTGCTATTTATAACTTGTATAAATACGTTGATTGTTTACTACTATATTGTCGCATAGCAAAACTTGTCCTAACGTTACTTTTCATCACAATTATGTTTTTCCTACTTTTTAATAAATAAGAAAAGTCTAGTCCTACACTTTTGTGTCTTTTTAGAGTTGCATAAACACTTAGTTTTAATAATCAATATACTTTTTGTAGGTTATTGTTGATCAACTGTTGATGATAAATTATAATTTTTTGTATTTATCAGGCTGGTAGTTTCTGTCTGACGGAACCGACGTCGGGTTCCGATGCCTTCGCCCTGAAGACTGTCGCCAAGAAGGACGGCGATCACTTCGTCATAAACGGCTCCAAAATGTGGATCTCGAATTCCGATGTCGCTGGAGTGTTCCTTGTCATGGCTAATGCTGACCCTTCCAAGGTAAGAAGAATTGTAAAATGAAAATAGAAACAATATTTAGATCAAAATCTCCGCCTGCCTTTCAATATACATAATAAAATATCTCATACTCGACTTTATATTTTATAGTAATAAATGATTATTCCACAATTTCAATAATAACATATTTTTGTATATGTATTAATAAAAATATTACAGCAACTAAAACATATTTATATACAATTCGAGAAATCAGCAATTCTACAATCATCACAATAATCATTGTTGCATACACTGAACCATGCATATTTGAGACAATCACTCCATCCAGTTGAAGGTCGTTCTTCACTACATTTGCCTGTGCGCGGTCGCCATTTGACAATTTTTCCTCTTCGTTTCATGTCGGTCCTTTGAACTTTATAGTCGGCCTATAAGCATTACTTTGTTTTTGTTTTAGCATTTTCTCATTTAAGAGTTTCCTATTGTCGAGGCAACTAATTCATGCATTCTAATCTAATATTAAATGAAATATTTATAGCTAAGTTATACATCAAAACAGCGATGTTTATAATGATAGTACTGTTGCGTAATTTAATGACGTTATTCTGTATCTACGTATTGACACAGATGTAAATAATTCATATCACAATTTTGATAAAACTCCAAGTGGCTTAAAACATTGTATATATGTTATACCTACTTTACCGTTTAATACATATAGTTTAGTTCATATCATATTTAAGCTAAACTTTCATCCCGACCATTTGGATGAGTGAGGGTACTCCACCGTGCGTTTCAAAGTATAAGATTTCCAAAATGATACGACAATTAAACTTTCATGAAAAGAGCATATTCCTTCTTAAAAAACCAGAGGGAGATTTTGTACAAAAGTCGTTTGCTTGGATACCTTTATCCCATCCGTGTTTCAACTGTAAAGCAGTTGTTTGCATGACTGTGTATCAGTTTGAAGGGTGGGATATGGCGTGAATTTACAGGGTACAGAGGAATAACACCTGAGTCCTCAGGAATGGCAACGCATGGGGGGTATCATGGGCGAAACAGTACACTTTGTTATGTCCATAACACTGCTCGTGTCTATAGGCGACGGTTACAGCTTTCCATCAAGTAAACTGTCAGCTTGTCTGCCATTCTAAGTTGTATAAAAAAAAGCACAGTAACGGTGTTTTCGGTGCTCGACCTCTACTCTTCTTTCCCTCCACACAACCGCGTAACTATTATCTTAAAGAGGAAAATTTATTTTTTTATTTTAACGGATAAACTTGAAAAGTACTTAAGTTATTTTAAAAATTCTTTCAACTATAGAAAGCTACATTATCAGTGAATTACACGGAAGGTTATTATTTTTTTTAATCAGAGATCTCTTCAAGAAGAATGAATAGGTAATCCATGCAAAGTTGGGGCACCAGTACTAATCTTTTTATTCGATACAAATACAGTGTAAAAAACAACCAGATGGTCTACCATGAAATGAAATTCCAAAATTTCGAGCTCAATTTCGTGTTTTTGTTCGTACCGAAATCGACCCAGTAAATGGAGCTTAACGTTTCATTCATCATAAATACTATCCTAATAGTCCAGAGGAATGATATTTTAATAATTTTAAACGGCATGTATTGTGTAATTTTAACATCAATTTGATGTTTAAATTACACAATACATCTGTTTCGTTCGTCCCCGAAATTTCAGAAAATATTTCATGGTAGACCCATAGTTGTCCAACGTTTTCGAGACGTCCCAAAAGATTACATGACAATTCAGGTCGATAAAATTATATTATACAAATGTATCCATTCACCAGGGATACAAGGGTATCACATGCTTCATCGTGGAGCGTGAGACCCCAGGTCTGACCGTTGCCAAACCAGAGAACAAGCTGGGTATCCGCGCTTCAGGAACTTGTATGGTGCACTTTGACAACGTCAGAGTACCTGAGGGGAATATCCTTGGAGAATATGGTAAAGGGTGAGTGTTATATTTACATCTTACGCAATGTACTAGATATATTTTTTTTAATTATTGTGAATAACAACTACGTGCCATGAGCATAGTGTATTCTATAATGTTCGTGATGCAGTTCTTGTCTATAGGCGACGGATACTACTGCATATTTTTTTTTTATGGGATGAAAACGGAGTGGTAACCCCGCCTGCGCTAATGGGATACGCTGGCGGGGCACCAGTGAAGGGTGATCGATGAGAATGAAAACAGGCCAGTTAGCCCATCATGATGAATTCATCAGGAATTAATCATGATAGTTTCCAGGGGGAACCGCGAGGAGGTCGACCTGGTTGGATATATTGCTAGCAATGGGATTCTTAGTCTCCATTACTAACAATCCCTTTTCCCCCCACTACTTTATATTAGGTGGGCCATAAAAAATATATATCTTAAATGATCATTATTGGTTGATTCATCAAGACTATTCGAACATCAAGACTATTAGACATCGAAGTCATTGAATTATGACTTCTGCCTTACCAAAAAATTCTTTTGTTCTTCCTTAAACTTGGATCTAGTTACGGTCCTGTACCTTCAAAAGTTTGAAGCGGAATCTTAGGCTTTTGGTATAGGTCATACATCTATAGCAGAGGCTTTGTGGCTTTCTCTATTAGTTATTAATCTCTGATCGTTATTAAGTCTATACCCATATTGTGACATGTGTTTTATCTCGAAACGAGGCATTATTAATTAATCGAATCGAAGCTTTTAGCCCTAACTAGTTAGTTTTTTTTTTTTTATACACGATAATGAAATGGTAACTCCGCCTTCGCTAACGGTATACGTTGGCGGGGCACCAGTGAAGGATGATAGATAAGAATTTAAAGGCAGATCAGTTAGTCCATCGTGACAAAAACACCTGAAATTCAGTTGACCTGAAAACTATCAGGGGCAAGTGGGGATCGACATGATAGAGTATAATTCTAGCAAAGGGACTGGTAGTCTGCATTACCAACAACTCCCCCCCCCCCCCACTCAACTCGTTAGTAACAGTCGTTCGACGCCCAGGAGACGAATAAACAAATGAACAATAAATGTACCTACTAGCCCATACTAAATGCGATATTTCTCCAATACTATTACAGTTACAAATACGCAGCTGGTTTCCTCAACGAGGGTAGGATCGGCATCGCATCGCAGATGATTGGCCTCTGTCAAGGCTGTATGGACGCCACCATACCGTACACTCTCGAGAGAAAGCAATTCGGCAAAAGCATATACACCTTCCAGGTAGATCTTTTTTTATTTATTTCTGACTCACAGGACCCTCTGAAAAATGCCTTATCCTTCGATTAATTTTCAGATCAATATATCAAGCGTCAAAAACGGATTAAATTTTGTCAGCTACTTTAACGTTTGTCGTGTAGTTCCGGCATAGAATGAACCATCACATCCTTTTTCGTTGGTGTCGTAAGAGGCGACAAAGAGAGCTTAATGGTCGAGAAATGGGCAAGCAAGTAGCAATCCCCTTAAAACATTAGAATAAATAAAATAAATTAATTAATTAAATTCTAACACTCGCCTTAGACTACCTAAGCGGCTTTATAGCTACCTTTATCAGGGGAAAGCACAAAAGATCCCGATAAGCCGACGTGCCACGTCTTAATAATAATAATAAAGTGACAATAGTTCCAATAGTACTCTCCACGACAGGTGTGATACTGTAACAACTGCATCAGGCGATAAGTACCCTAAAGTTACCACCCCATACTTATCATCAATTACAGAAAGCCGTAATCATAAATACATGCCGAATTATCAGGAAATTTATGCAAATTGTCCTATAAGTTCCTGGTACATCTACATGTTAACATAATATTACAAACAGATTACACAAACAAATTATATTTATACAAAAAACATAGCACACAGTTATGCACTTGACTTAGGCCCGTGTACACTTGTAAAACCGGTTTTAAGCCGAGATATCGTAAATTTAAAATAATAATAAATCATTTATTCAGCTACAAAACGATTAATTACAGTATTTTACATTAAAATAATAATTCGATGGTAGCAAATGAAATGGTCCCCAGCGGTGCTATAGCGCTAATTTTCAGTGGGGTCACCACTCGATAGGTAACACTAAAAAAACAGGATTAAATTTATAACACATTGGACCTTATAGAAAATATCAACATTATATATATAATATAATAATATATTATAATGAAGATATATAAAATAATTATGTAGGTATATTAAGTAAGTAGGTATGCATGCATCAGTTATAATTTATCTGCCAAATTTACAATTTTTGAACTTGATTCATATGTTTTTAAGCGATATTTAAAATATAACAATAACTGTCTTTATTGAATAATAAATTACATTTAGATCTACTAGCCAACAAACTAGGCTGAGCCTTTATCTCAGTGGACAGTTCTGACTTCTTCAACTTCCTTTGACTTAAATAGTCTTAGCTGACCCCATACGCGAATAAAAGATAAGGTTGACTACCTAAATTTATAAATATAACTGCAAAAACAAAACGCTCCTACACCCCACTTTTTTTTTATTTTTCCCCTTTACTTCTGGTGTCCCGTCGCCCGTATCAAAAAGCAAGAACAGTATACCCACTTCAATTACTATTCACCAGAGGGAGACTGTGTATTAAAGTCGTTTGCTTGGGCACATCTATTCCATTCGTGTTTCTACCATGAAACAGTCATGTTTGCATGGCTATGTTTCGGTTTGAAGGGTGGGATATGGCAGTGAATTTACAAGGTATAGAGAAATAATCTCTGAGTTCTCAGGAATGGCAACGCATGGAGGGTATCATGGGCGAGACAGTATACTCTATTATATCCATGGTACTGTTCATGTCTATAGGTGACGGTTACCACTTTCCATCATTGGACCGTCAGCTTGTTTGCCATTCTAAGTTGCATAAAAAAAATTAAGTGTACCAAACTAAGAAAATAAGTCACTTGTTAGATAGACGTTTAAAATCGATCATGTGGCGGTATATTAAAAAAATATCTTCCACCGACATTATTTGTAAACTGATAAGAATACGTATCTACTGCGATTAAATATCTAAATATCTAGTAGTTATCGGTATAAACAGAGTTCTTGGCATCATGCCACGTTCAGTTAATATGCAGTTATGGCTATTTATAATCATACAGCATTATTATACTCGTAATGCATAGGTAAAAGTGCATAAGATTGTTTGCACTCAATTCTTTTTCTGTCTATTCGGTGAAGAACTGTCATGATAATATAAAGATAGTTTAGAATAATACAGAATAATGTAGTCATTATCAGCATCATATCAGCCGTTAAATGTCCACTGCTAAACATAGGCCTCTCGTATAGGGGGGAGGGGGTTGTCAGTACTTGCCACGTTTGGCAGGCTTTGCCAACAGCAGTCAAGCTTTGGTGATGTATAAAGAGGGACGCTACTTTTTGATTGATGAGTGAAAATGAATCCAAGCATTTGGCGTTCCATTGTTTCTGCCTACCCTAATGGGAGACAGGCGTGACAGATATGTATGTATGTATATATGTATGAGTGAAAATGGTATGGTAACCTCGCCTGCGCTAACGGGATACGCTGGCGGAACACCAGTGAAGGGTGATAGATAAGAATGAAAACAGGCCAGTTAGCCCATCATTATGTATTCATCAGGAATGAATCATGATTGTTTTTAGGGAGAACCGCGTGGAGGTCGTTTAATGCTAGCGATAGGATTCTCAGTCTACATTACTAACTATCCCTTTCCCTCCAGAGCGACGCTACTGCCCATTGCTTACTTAAGTTCCCTTAGTCGCCTCTTACGACACCCATGAGAAAGAAAGAGGTGGCATTCTATGCCGGGACCACACAGAGAAATGTATAAAGACTGTAGTAATAGTGAATAAATATACATTCGATCCAATACAAATATATGTACATACCAGTTTCCCCAAGTAACTGAGCGAAAATATGAAAATGTTATCTGAACACGTGACTGATCACATGAGTTTGTCCACGTGAATTAAAATGTTCATTGTATTAAAAAAAAACTACTTCAATTCTGGCAAAACCAGTTATTTTGTATTAAAAGACATGAAAACAAGAGACAATAGACAATACAAATTTTTATGTCAACAATTTTTTTTTCTATGTTTTATAATTAAGACATTGTTATGACTGTAATAATGGAATTTTACTAGTGTTTATATTAAAAGTAGATTTGCACGCCATTTGTGGTAAAATATGGAGACGTAATATTCTAATAATGTGGGGGGGGGGATTGTTAGTAATGGGGTCCAATAGCCCTATTACTAGCAATATACCCTATCAGGTCGACCTCCACTTGGTTCCCACTGGAAACCATCGTGACTAGTTCTAGTTTAAATCATCAGGATGGGCTAACTGACCTACTTTCATCCTCATCTGTCATCCCTCACTGGTGCCCCGCCAGCGTATATCGATAGCGCGGGCGGTGTTATCATTCTATTTTCACCCGTTAAAAAAAATTATTATAAAAAAAATAATTTAGAGCCCATTACTAACAATCCCTTTCCCCCTATATTATTATTAGGTTTAACTAGATGGTACAACGATTTGCATTGAATAAAATCGATAGAACAAAATATAATAGTGCACTTTCAATGAAAGCTATGTCCAGCAGTGGACTGATGAGTGACCGGAACTAAAAATTTCCATTCTGATCTACAGGGTATCAGCTATCAAATAGCTCATCTCCAAACCGAGTTGGAGGCAGCACGCTTGCTCACCTACAACGCGGCTCGATTGAAGGAACACGGACAAGAGTTCGTGAAAGAGGCAGCCATGGCTAAATACTTCGCATCAGGTAAATAAAATGTGACCGACATAGCCTGAAGGATAAGCAAGCTGAAGTGGCAATGGGCTGGTCACATAGCTCGGAAGATTTATCATTTTTCATCAAATGAATGATTTCTTGCCAGTCCGAAAAAATACTGGCCACTGGTACTCCCCGCATACTAGTGGTTGGTATGTCGTAAAACAAATTACTTCATCATGGATTCTGGTCCAAATTAAATAATAATTTTTAATACTATTGATGATTTCGGACGCTCATATCACAAACAACACGCGCTGATGTCTGCAATTGCACATTAAAAAGCTGCAATAATTATAAAACAATAAATATAGAAGTTATAAAAGAATCACTCATAATTATTTATCACGCAAATTTGTATGAAAAATTTAACCCACTTTTCTCGAAGCATTTGCATGAAGACACTATGTATAAGATCTAAGGATATACCTAACCAGAGGGAGACTTTGTACAAAAGTCGATTGCTTGGGTACCTCTGTCCCATTCGTGTTTCAACCGTGAAGCAGTTGTGTTTGCATGGCTGTGTTTCGTTTTGAAGGGTAGGATATGGCGTAAATTTACAGGGTACAGAGGAATAACACCTGAGTCCTCAGGAATAGCAACGCATGGGGGGTATCATGGGCGAAACAGTATACTCTGTTATGTCCATGGTACTGCTCATGTCTATAGGCGACGGTTACCACTTTCCATCAAGTAGACCGTCAGCTTGTGTGCCATTCTAAGTTGTATAAAAAAAACCTAAAATTAATGTTTTTGTTTTTTTTTTTTTGCAGAAATTGCACAAACCCTTACATCAAAATGCATAGATTTTATGGGTGGTGTGGGATTCACTCGTGATTTCCCCCAAGAGAAGTTCTTCAGAGACGCTAAAATCGGGACCATTTACGAAGGAACCAGCAATATGCAACTGCAAACAATAGCCAAGTACATAGAGAAGGAATATACACAATAGTTCAGATAATGTACTACAAAAACCTTTGATACTTCTAAGAACTAGTTTATGTAAAGTTAATAATACATTTTTTAATCAACAATTGACCAGTCCGTTGATTGTTTTGGTTCTACAGCATAATTGTACTACATACTTTCCAATTTAATCCATCAATATTGTAAACTGAATATTCCTATATGTAACAACAATAAGACCAAAAGTTTTAGATTATAATAAAAAATGGCATTAGTACAGTTTGGTAAAAAAAGTCGACAGTTAATCACTTTTAGTAAACAGTACAATAAGTACATTAAAAAATACACACCTACATGTGGAAAATTACTTTTTATTAAAGAAACACTGACAAACTGTAATACCTTGACTCGCTGCTAAATATGGCAATTAATATTTGTAGTAGTTGTTAGGAATCAATCTCGAATGAAATGTTAACTCTTATCACATAATTATTTGATTCTATAGCTCAAGATACATACAATATTAAAAACAATTATATTTTAAATCTGCAAGATCTTACATTGTCAGATTTGAATAAGTATCTATAAATAAATTTTGTAAATATTTAAAATTACATAAATCATAGATTTTTTGTATTTACATTTGGAAATTATTTGAGATTAGTGATCTTATAGAATAAAAAGTATTGAAGATTATCTTTTCACTCTATGTATAAATTTTATCTGTGGAATTTTACATGACAATATAAGGCAAATTTTAGAAACTGGAAATAGTAACTATGTAAAATGTATTTTAAATTTGAGCTCAAATGTCACTCAAAAAATATTGTATTATAAAACCATAAAAAAAGTAAAGATAAATTTAGTAGTTATATCTATTAAAATATGAATGTATTTTCATATTTGTAACAGGGTTTTACTGAAATTTCATAATCTATGATTTGGTTATAGTTTTGCATAGGCTATAATCAATGCTATACATGCATAATAATAAAAATATTTTTGAATATTAAAAAGTTGTTTCATCATATTTTTTTTAAATGGCCTTGATCCTTTTACAACTATCTATTGTTAATAAAACAAATATTTTAATTGATGATTTTTATTTCCTATTTTTTTTTTACAACAAAACTAGTTTTATAAATATATACATAGAAATAAAATCACATCAAAATTTATGGCTTCGGATCATGTGGTAATTTAAAGCCAACCATCCTTGCAGTTTCTTCCACAGATCTTTCTCCTTTACCTTTATATTCTGCATTGATTTCTTTATATCTTTTTGCATTATGCATGTAATCAACATATGTGCGTGCCTTGAAATGCATTTCATCAATTGCCTTACACAGTTGTTGATCAGTCGTCTGATATTTTCGATACTGTTTGAATATATACTGAACCATTTGGTTATCAGACAGTTTCTTATTAGTACTTTGTTGACGGATCTCTGATAACAACTGTCTTAATGTAACGAGTACAGGCTTAGAAGTTATTGACGCCATTGTTCAGAGTATACACCTTCAAACAAATCAAAGTTTCAACTTTTCAATCATTAAGGAAGTTATGAACTCCTCTGTATTTTCATAAGAAGGTTTGTTATTTTTCTTCCAAAAATTATGATCTATGGTATCTATTTTTTCTTTGGGAAACCAATGGAGCGATGTGTCATTGAAAATATCTGTATACTTGAAATTATTCTCCAACACAATCTCAGATGTAAATGGAAATAATTTATGTATGTATGCGACTGTTTCTGATAACAGTCTATTTGGTTGACTTTCTATTAGGGAATTAAAACTATTGCCAATAAGGACACAATTCTTTATATTCACTCCCCAATTACTCCAAAGGAAATTGTTTGTCAACTGTTTGGGACAGTGAGGAAAATAAAGTAAGGTTATGCCTTGATCAGAAATTACATAATTCCCTTCAATGTTTTGTTCAATTATTTCAATATTAAATCGCTTCAATATATCACATTCCCCTTTATAGAAGATTGGATCGTGCACATAAACCTTACTAGGTTCACAGAAGTCTTTCAGACACAGTAAAAAGGCTAGCTGGTACCTAGAAATATGACATTCTGCGATATGGCCTAGCCCAAAACAAACAATTTCTATAACCTTCCTAGAGGATAAGATACTACTTACAGCTTTTAATGCTTCCTCTGTATACTTTGAATTTCTTAATTCTTCAACAGCTGACTGAATTCGTCTACAAAAAATCAAAAACAATATATTGATATAATATAACCTCAATTATTGCATGACAGAAATATGTCACAATACTTTTAAAAGAAAAACAATCACCGTGCAGACTTCTCAATATCAATTGAGACCTCTTGTTTCTCAAAATTATTTTGTTTAATTGGTATTTTCGTTTGTTTATTTTTAGAAAAACGTTTTGTTTTTACTATTTGAAAGCCATCAGAGTCGAATGGAGTATTTAACATTTTGATATTGAAAATGACATTTCAGTGTCAGTCAGTCAATCAATAAAAGATTTATTTTTCTTTTTCTTCTCTTGCCATCTAGTATCGGAAGTCGGTGATTATCAGGGCTATTTTAAATATTAGAGACTGTCGCTCGAAAAAGAAATTTGGTGCTCATCCTAAACAAGACTATAATATTTAAACCACTAAATGCGTCTTTTGCCAAGTAGTCTATAGCTTTCTATCTTGGATAAAGTGGTATCTACTCCATGGTCTTAAAAGCCAAAGGATCGAATCAATGTAATATACATAAAAATACTTTTACTGTAACATTGTTACAGCATAATTAAACGAATATTAAAGTACTGGTAAGTAGATACCAATAGTAGGGTATATAATAATTACATAATTTTGAGTAAAAATTAGTAAAAAAAAGCGTAACCCTGCATGTAGAAAACGTTGGATTATATGCATGTGATTTACTTAAAATATTATTATTAATTTATTGTCAAAAACAAAATTTTACATAAACTATTACCAGGAGATAATAAAATAATGAATATATACGTATAAATAATTTTCCGTGTAGTCTTGGTATAGGTCACCCCTTTCTTTCCAGTGAGTGTCATAAGAGGTAACCAAGAAGGGCGAGGGGTGGGCAGCAGCATCCCTCTTAAAACATCTCCAAAGCCTAACTGCAGTTGCCAATCCACCTGCCAAGCGTGACAACTACTGGCAAACCCCCCAAGGGGAGGCTTATGTTCAACAGTGGACGGTTAAAGGCTGATATATTATATTGACGAATGAATAAAGACAACAAATCTAATGTAATTAATTAACTTGAACATAATAAGTAAAAGGAAGCTCATTGATATGTCTTATATATATGTCCCTTCTTATACGGTTCGAACATTTTCACCCATAACCACATGCATACAAATTATGCTCGTACTACCACCCACCGAAGTGGAACCAAGTAGACGGCTCGCTAGACGTAATTTAGCTATGTAAAGTATTGTATAGTATATTTTTAAATGGGTTATAATGGAATGATAACCCTGCGCTAACGGTATACGCCGGCGGGGCACCAGTAAAAGATGATAGGTGAGGATGAAAAGGCAGGTCAGTTAGCCCATCATGATGAGCACATCTGAAATTCAGGTGTACTCATCACGATGGTTTATAGGGGGAACCACGTGGAGGTAAACCTGACAGGGTTATGGCTAGCAATGGAAGTGGTAGTCCGCTTTATTAACAGTCCCTTCCCCTCTTTTGTACAGTATTAATAGGGTAACCTCTGACCACTAATTCATTATTAAAACTATATTTAAATCATTTTTTATGCTTACAAAAATCATAATAATCTTCCTTATTTTATTTTTATATTTTATTTTTACAACACAGGGGCAAACGAGCACGCGGCTCACCTGATGGTAAGTGACTACCGCCACAAATAATCACCCACAACACCAACGGCATTGCAATGAGGGGTCATAATAAGACCAGTACGTGCCAAAATAATATTTAGAAATTTTCTGTATGACACTCTGTGTTAGTTCTAGCTTGATGCAAAAACTATTACACCAAAAAATGTATTGCGATTTTTACAGTTATATTTCTAAAAACCCAACTTAAATTCAGATGCATGTTTTATCTTAAAAAGCTGTCTATTGTGGAAGTTCCCCATTTCATTTGTTTTTCAACCGACTCCAAAAAGAAGGAGGTGTTTAAATCGATTGTATTTTTTTTTGTACTTCCAAAATCTACGTATACGAAATAACGGGCTAATAGCTAGTGTTAGATAAAAGAAAATAAAATACAGAGTAAGAGCTAAAATAAAAAACTAGACAAGTTATATGTAGTCTAAAAAAGGCCGGTTTATGTTTAGGCCGGCAGCACACCTGTAATGCCACTGGTATTGTGGGTGATCATGGTGAACATTACCATCAGGTGAGCCGCATGCTCGTTTGCCCCCTGTGTTGTAAAAAAAAAGATTAAAGAAAAAACTTAAAGATCGTGCGGTCATATATTCAGGTTATGTACCTACACTACATTCTAAAATACAGAGGGAGACATTGTACAAAAGTCGTTTGCATGGGCACCTCTATCCCATTCGTGTTTCTACCGTAAAGCAGTTGTGTTTGCATGGCTGTATTTCGGTTTGAAGGGTAGGATATGGCAGTGAATTTACAGGGTACAAAGGAATAACACTTTAATCCTCAGGAATGGCATCGTGTGGGGTATCATGGGCGAAACAGTATACTCTGTTATGTCCATGGTACTGCTCATGTCTCTGGCCACGTTTACCACTTTTCATCAGGTGGCCCGTCAGCTTGATTGCCATTCTAAATTGCATAAAAAAACACGGGTGTGGCAGTGAATAATTTACAAAATTATACCAAATGCTCTCTATGTACACACCAACACAATGTAACCGAGTTATATACAATCACAGAATACCTAATAATACACACGTGCGGTTACAGAAGAGTTACCAGATTTAGGAATGAAGACGTGCGTGGAGTTCGCCAAAAAGGCATTAGAAGGTTTCCTCAGGGTCGACAACGTGACTTCCCTGGTGTTATACGTAGGTATCAGTATATAATCAATAATTAATTAATTACTAATTATTTCATTCGAATTATTTTGTTTTATTCAATAAAATATATATTAATTAAATAAAACAAGAGACGTATAGAATTGAAGTTTGTGACACTCAGTTTGCTCTAAATACTGCGTAAAGAAAGACACATGAAAAAATATAGAACTTGTTCCTTTCCCGTGGGTGTCTAAGAGCGACTAAGGGAACTTAATGGTCGAGGGATCACCACAAAAAGCTTAACTGTAGTTGCCGCCTGCCAAGCGTGGCAACTTCTGGCAAAACCTCTCAATAGGGGGAAGGCTATGTTCAGTAGTGGATAGTTAGAGGATAGTATCGTATAGTCTATATCCCTTACCCCCAACCCTTATAAGTTAGGTCAACAGACTTACCATGACAAATTTACCAAGTAGGTTTCCTGAGTGGATTGCGTGGAGATAGACCTGACCAGGGTATATTATTAAATGGTATATTTTTAGCAATGGAGCTGTCTCCATTACTAATAATACCCTCTCTCTAACTGTAGGTAAAAATTCTCTGGACTGTAAAACTACAATGCAATAAGATTCAAACAACGTAACATTAGACGTACAAAACACAATCGAGGATAGATAGGTACTTTACTAACATTAAGGTTTTATGCTTTTGTCCGAAAAACCTACTTCCCACACAACGAACTATACGTCCTTGGTCGAGTATTTAGGTTGGGGAAATTACCTACTAACATGAGGGACAACAAACGCGACGCATATCGAGTGGCCATTGTGTGTTTTGTGCTACACCGACAATCGAAATCTATGGACGGAGCATTCAAATCACGCTCCCGTATTCGTTCCAACATACCGTAACACGAATAAGGCGACAATAAAGTGTACCGAACATTATTATTAGCTGTACAAGTTTAGTCACAGGACGACGTTTCAGAACGCCACCCGGAATAAGCGCGCGAAAATTCCAGCGTTACGTTCCATTTCTTTTTTTTTTTTCTTCTAACTTTTTAAACTGCGTTCCTATTTACACTTTTATAAACACTTAGAAATAAACTTTCAAATGTTTATTAACAACGCAATTGCAATTTATACGTGAGAAGCACTAGTTGTGACCACTTGAGAGTAATCTATTCCGAAAGGTGTAATTAATTCGGTTCGCTTCGTTACTTTTTATATAACATATAATGTAGTACGGCGGTCAAGATTTGTTTTTTATGTGTATTTAGTTTTAGCGTGTCCGTAGACTGCGGCTATCGTGTCGTGATTGGGTGTGTAAAGTATGAAACTGTTTGTGTATAATACATTGATTGTTTAGTTCTAATGTAAAATGGAACGTTACACAGTGAACCGTAGGTCTAAAAGGAGGAACGATGGATTGTTGACTAAGTGGAGAAGAAAATGTGTCGGTGGTATCCTGAACAAGCGTTCGTGGATAAGTAGTGGATACGATCTGAATGTAAGTAGCTATCTATACAATGAACATGTACTCGTAGTTTATTCGAAAGTATAGAACGAGCAGATATCGAAAAATTTTCAAAACACAAGCACCACTAATTCTTTATCATCAACATATCAGCCGTTAACTGTCCACTGTTGAACATCAGTCTCCCCCTTGAGGGCAGAGGGAGTGTTTTGCCAGTAGCCGCCATGCTTGACAAGCGAATTGGCAACCGTAGGCAGGCTTTGAAGATATTTTAAGAGTAACACTGCTGCCCATCCCTCGCCCTCCTTTAGTGACCTCTTACGACACTCACGGGAAGGAAAGGGTGTCCCGTTCAATGTTGGGACTACACGGCTCCACACAATTACGGTCCATTAAGCGTCTTATGGATGAAACCCATAGATGGCTTTTATGAGATGATAAATAAAAAATAAACATACCACGTTTTTATCCTATACAAAGAGCCACGCTTACCATCAGACGGGCTGTATGCTTCCTGCATACAGCCCGTCTGATGATAAGCGATTACCGTACCCTATGAACGCCTGCAATACCAAGGGCGTTACGTACGCGTTACTGACGCTGAAGAAACCTCTTTATTCCTTTCTTGAAGAACATCATGCTGTAGTCTCTTGGATATTGATCCGCCCTGAAAAGACTACTATTTATTACTAGATATATCCTGCGGCATTACCCGCGTGAATCAGTAAATATATAAAGTATCCTATATGCTAAGTTAGGGTTTAACCTACTTGTGTACCAAATTTTATTCGAACCTGTTAAGTAAATTTTGCATTAAAGGGTAACAAACATCCATCTATCGTTACAAACTTTCGCATTTATTATATTAATAAGGTAATAATATTATATTTTATTTCTTTAATTATTAAAAAAATAGGAATACCTAACAATATATTTTTTTAATGGATCATAATGGAATGGCAACCCCGCCCACGATTACGATATGCAATGACGCGGCACTAGTGAGGGATGACAGGTGGAAATTAAAAGGCAGGAATGACAACTGATCTCATTGAGATGATACAATAAAAAAGGAGAAAAGGCGGGAAACTCGAATAAGAACAAGCGGGTTTTTTAAATTTTTTTTATTAATTTAATAAAACTATCTCTATCAATTCTTATTATTGAATAAAATATTATATTTTCACTAAATTCAGCGACAGTAATATAATTAGCATTCATGGGGAAGCGCAGTTGTAGAAAAAGGAAAAAAAAAGATGACGATTCAGGTGATGTAGACCATGAACCTTGTAATGACAAGGATATATATTCGGAAGATACTTCTACTGACTCAGAATCTGAAATTGATAAGGCCGATAAGTATAAACCTTACTACGTCACAGATTATATTAGAAGATATCCCGAGGAATCCCCTGGGACAGAATTTGTTGTCTTTGTAGAATCCTCAGATAGTCAGAAAACCATTGGATCCAGAGACTTGCTCTCACTCTCCTCCTGTTTAAAACGATTTAATAAAGGGGTAACTTATCTTAGATCTATAAATAAATTCAAAATCGGAGTATACTTTCAAAAGCCAGACTTAGCCAATGCTTTTTTAAATAATAAAACTTTTTTAAATGACTACCATTTTAAGGCCAGTATTCCTGCTTCTTCAACAGAAGTTACAGGCGTTATTAGAAATGTACCTACAAATATATCTAATAAAAAAATATATACTATAATATCGAGTTCTAAGAAAATTATTGCTATTAAAAGAATTTTAAGAAAAAATACCTTGACTCATGGATATGTGTTACAGCCAACTCTAACCGTGACAATTACTTTTGCTGCATCTGTATTACCTGAATATCTGGATATTGGAGGTTGGCGCCACAATGTCACTCCATATATACCACCAGTTAAACAATGCTACCGGTGCTTGAGGTATGGACATTTAGCTAAATTCTGTAAGAATTCTGAGCGTTGCAGCATCTGCAAAGGTGAGCATAATTATAAAACTTGTACAACTGGAATGGAAAACGCTATTTGTGTACACTGCAATGGAAATCACACAAGTGTATCACCGCAATGCCCTGTTAAACAAAAGAAAATTGCTGAAAATAGATCTAAATTCAGACCTGCTTCTTTTGGAGATATACTTAGCACTGAAATATTTCCTAAACTGGGTAACAAACCTAAAAAAAATGTAGACCTAATTTCAATTCTAAATTCTGATAACAAGAGTTTATCACTTTTAATAGAAAGCATAATCAAACTTATTTCACTACATAACACAAAGAACACATCTATTAACACTAAAAGTGTTTTGAATGTGTTATATGATACTTTTGGTAATAGACCTATTTCACAAAATTCAATCGAGACCAATTAACTATCATACAGTGGAACGCTCAGAGCCTACTGAGCAATCGACATATTTTTACACAATTTTTAAATGAACATCATATTCACATTGCTCTCATCTCAGAAACTTGGCTAAAACCACATTACAAATTAAAAATTAAAGATTATTGTATAGAACGAAATGATTGTGGTAATAACCACAATGGAGTAGCGATTATTATACATAATAGTATTAGATATAAAAAACTTCACTCTTTTTTCGACAATTCTTTGCAAACTATAGCTATTAGTATTGAAGTTAATAATTCTTGGTATTCAGTTGCCAGTATTGACTGTCCTACCAATAGTACACCTAGTTTTACTAAAGCCAAATTTAAGTTCTTTTTGGAGTCTCTTCCTAAACCCACTATCATATCTGGAGATTTAAATGCACACCATACTATGTGGGGTTGTACCTCCACTAATACAAGAGGTAAAGACATTCTTGATTGTTTAGATGAATGTAATTTGGTACTATTAAATGATAAGCAAGTTACTACTGTTGGCTCTCATATTTGGAGACCCAATGGCCTTGATTTAACTATGGTATCCCCATCCATATCATTAAAATGCGAGTGGTCGGTTCATGATGATCCGTTAGGAAGTTATCACCTGCCGACTTTTACTAAAATAAACACAAAGAACTCTTCATCAACTCCGTCAGGTGAACAACATGCTCCTATAGATGAAGTTAATAAACTTTTGTTAAATCGTATAAACCTACGTCTCGTTAATTGGGATCTTTATTCTGAAACTGTTAATCGATTACTTTTGGATTTCGAGTATGATGTCAATGAACCCTTAAACAATTACAATAGATTCTGTAAAATTATTTTGACAGCTGTGGAACGTTCCGTTCCACATAGGAACTTATCAAATAGCGGTGCAAATACTTCAAAGAGGCACAAACATATTGCAGTACCTTGGTGGAATAACAGGTGTGCGACAGCTGTCAATGATAGTAAAGCGGCTTACCTTAGGTTTAAACAAAATCCAACTCTCGATAATTACATAAGTTTTAAAAGAGTTCAAGCTGTTAAAAAGTTAGTAATTAAGCAAGTAAGACAACAGGGGTGGCAGGAATTTTGTTCCAAATTTAATAGATTAACACCAATTTCCACTGTTTGGCAAAATATGAGAAAACTAAATTCAAAACATCGTCAAAATCATCTTAAAGATATATCATGGGTCAATGATTTTTTACGTAAATATACTCCTGATTTTGTACACTCACCTTTTGATGACAAACAGTTTAATTCTGTTAATTCATGCCCAAAATTTCTCACTGACCCATTCTCAATTGATGAAATATCCAGTGCAGTAAAATCTAGAAAAGATACAGCTAGTGGCCTTGATCGCTTAACATACAATATGTTTCGATTGCTGAATAAAATAAACCTTACTAAACTCTTACAAATTTTTAACGATTTATGGAAGGACTGTATTATCCCACCAGAATGGAAAATGGATTGTTTGATTCCAGTAATTAAACCCGGTAAAGATCCTACAAATTTCGACTCCTATAGACCTATAACATTGACGTCCTGTGCAGGCAAATTATTCGAACAATTAATTAAACAGCGTTTAGAGTTCTTTATTGAAAGTAATAGTATATTACCATCGAATCAATTTGGTTTTCGCCGTGGATATTCAGCGCGCGAAAGTTTAGCGAACTTCTATGTCGACCTTAGTACTGCTTTGAATAACGATGAATATGTTCTATCTGTTTTTTTAGATGTCGTAGGAGCTTTTAACAATGTAAATTTAACAGTTCTATCTTCGATTTTATCCTCATTTCTTCCAATGAAACTTATCGAATGGATTTATAATTTTCTTAGTAATAGAGAAGTGTATGTTAAAGTAAATAGTAAATTAATAGGACCTAGGTTAAGCTCTAAAGGAGTATGTCAAGGTGGTATTCTAAGCCCGCTACTATATATTTTATATATCTATAAACTTAATTCAATTTTAGGAAACAGTGTGAACAACTTGCAATTTGCCGATGATTTATTAATTTATATAAAAGGAAAGAATATTATTGATATGCAATTAGTGTTAAATGAGTCATTAAAAAGACTTGAGAAATATTTTTCTCTTCTTTCCCTCGATATTAGTTTAACCAAAAGTAAAGTAGTTGTTTTTCATCAAGTTCATAAATATGTTCCATTAATGAATATTATATATAATAATCAAACTCTTCCAACAGACTGTAGCGTTAAATTTCTGGGGGTAATTTTTCATCAAAATTTAAAATGGGATCTATACGTTGATTGCTTAGTAGATCGTGCTTTAAGAGCCACTAATATAATAAGATCTGTAATTGGTCGTAACTGGGGAGCTGATCCTAAAATTATCCTTTTACTTTACAAATCTCTTGTTAGAAGTAATTTTGATTACGCTTTCTTTTGTTATGCCTCAGAACATAAATTAGTAGAAAAACTCGAAAAAATTCAAAATATGAATTTAAGACTTATTTTAGGTGCTATGTATACTTCTCCAATTATCTCAATGCAAGTAGAATGTAATTTGCCTCCTATCCTTCTTCGTTTCGAATACCTAAAACTCAAATTTCTCTTCAAAGTTTTTTCAGTTTCCAATAACCCACTCATACTCAAATTATTAAATTGCCCCATTTCTATGTTTTTGAATAAAACTATTGTCAATGATTTGAATTTACGAGATGAATATAACATCTATAGTAGTAAGATACTTCCTTGTTATAATGGCCTTTATGAGAGTAAGTTCTGTAAGATCAAAATTGTTATACGTAAAGACATAAAAGAAAAGCACGATATGTATGAGACTTTATCAGAATTTATTGACTACAGGCAGATATATACAGATGGTTCCAAAAATGCACTTAGCACTTCAGTGGCTTTTTACGATTTGTCAAATAGATTTGGTCACGGTTATAAAATTTCAACTTTGGCTAGTATTTACACAGCAGAAGCAAAAGCTATATTTTTAGCATTAGAATACATAGAAAAACAGGTACTATATTCGAAATGGATTATAATTACAGATAGTATGAGTGTTCTTATGGCATTAAAAAATAACACATTCATTTCATCATCAAACTACTTAATTCAAGAAATTCGTAATAAATATTATCATCTCTGTACTATATATGGAAAAGATATTATCTTCATCTGGACCCCTTCACATATTGGAGTGTTTGGGAATGAACAAGTAGACACTTTGGCTAAAATTATTAATTCAAGTGCTGCTCGTGTTCAAGATTTACCCCTTTGTTATTCAGATTGTAGTATTGGAATACATAAAATCGTTACAACTAAATGGGAGGAGCATTGGACTCAAATATTACAGACTAAAGGCAAATGGTACCGCAAAATTAATTGGCGTATTGGAAAACCGTGGTTCTGCAAAGGAAAGGACACAAACAGAAAATTTTACACCAATATTTGTAGATTACGAATCGGCCACGGACATTTCAACGAACACCTGCACCGAATGGGCATGATCGCTTCCCCATCATGCACATGGTGTAACTCAAATACAGCCCAATCTCTACATCACCTTTTTTTTGATTGCTCTGAATTTGTCATTCAAAGACACATTATGTTTGACGAACTTAGGATTATCTTCAAAAAACCCGAAAATATCCCGCACTCAATCCCGCTTCTCTTAAGATTTCCTTCTTGTTTCAAAGCTATTTTCACTTATATTACTACAACATTCAAGGAGCTATAAGAATACTTTTATTGAATTGCAAGACAATGATTTTTTATAATTATTTATTTTTAATTTGATAAATCCACTGGTTTAAGAAAACTCAAGAAAAGATATTTATGAAAATGTACTTACCGGATTTGACAAATGAAATATTGAAGATTATGACAATAATTGAAGCGACATTAGAAAAATAAAATTCCAGACAAATTATCTTTTTGAAGACTAGGCAGCATGGTCTCCGACCTTAGCCTGTTCCAAACGGAACAAACGTACTAAAAAAAAAAAAATTAAAAGGCAGGTCTGTTAGCCCAGATTTCTAGACGGAATCACATGCTAGCAATGGGACACATTACTAACAATCCCTTCCCCCCAATATATATATATATATATATATATATATATATATATATATATATATATATATATATATATATATATATATATATATATATATATATATATATATATAAATTTTAATCACCTACTAAAATTAGTCACTTCAATAAATACATCACTATACAATTACAATAGAAAATATACTGTGACACCCATCGTCCATGCCAATCCATTCATAAAACACTTCCATGTAATGGAATACAAATAATTATTTTTATAATAAAACATAAACATAAAATACCATCAAATTCTTTATGAAAAATAATTACCTTAATATTGCATTGATGATAATTACAATATTTCATTTAAATTATTACAAATCTATTAACAAACAAGAAAAGTATAAAACAACAAACTGGATTTCAAAATATGCAAATTATTGCAAGCGTAATATTTAAAAATATATATATATATATATATATATATATATATAAATACCGTTTACAGTTGGTTTACTAAAATACATATTAGATTAGATAGATAGATATATAATCTTATTACTTACAGCACACAAATAAGAATATACATACATAGATAGATACATATATATACATATATACCATATATGTAGATACATATATACCAGAGGGAGACTTTGTACAAAAGTCGATTGCTTGGGTACCTCTGTCCCATTCGTGTTTCAACCGTGAAGCAGCTGTGTTTGCATGGCTGTGTTTCGGTTTGAAGGGTGGGCGTGGTATGGCGTGAATTTACAGGGTACAGAGGAATAACATTTGAGTCCTCAGGAATGGCAACGCATGGGGGGTATCATGGGCGAAACAGTATACTCTGTTATGTCCATGGTACTGCTCATGTCTATAGGCGACGGTTACCACTTTCCATCAGGTGGGCCGGCAGCTTGTTTGCCATTCTAAGTTGTATAAAAAAAAACACAAAATAATTAAAGATTATGTATCACAAAGACAGCCGACTTTAATCGTGATAAAACCGGATATTTTAATCTAAAAAGATCTAGTGAACTGATTTTGCTTCAAATAAAAAAAAAAAGATTTTTCTAAATCGATTTAGAATTAACGGAATTGTGAGATAACAAACATGTGAAAAAATACACCTGAATTGTGAACCTTTTTCTTTTTAAAGTCGATTGAAGAAAAAGAGATAAAAGAATACATACAGACATACATTTTTTTTATACAACTTAAAATGGCAAACAAGATAACGGCCCACCTGATGGAAAGTGGTAACCGTCGTCTATAGACATGAGCAGTACCATGGACATAACAGAGTATAGTAGTAACATATTTTTTCATTTTTCTTAGCTAGCATTTGTTGCAAATGCTTCCATAATTAATTGATCGCATTCATTGTACTCGCCATCCAGTCTCGGTATAAAATAGGCCACTCTTTCTTTCCCACGGTATAGGAAGGGGTGGCTTATTCTATGCCGGGACCACACATCAGACTAAGATAAAAGCTAGTTAGAAATAATTAAGATAAAAGTGTCCTTTTTAAAAGGCCGGCAGAACACCTGCAATGCCGCTGGTGTTGTGGGTGATCATGGGCGGCGGTAGTCACTTACCACCAGGTGAGCCGCATGCTCTTTAGTGGTCTGTAAGTCTGCTCTTTATTTTTTTTTTACAACATAAGGGGTTATGTTGTAAAAAAATATATAGAGCAGTAATAAAATAAAACGAGTCAGCTAATTTGACAATTAGCTGATAAAAAGTTGACTCGTTTTTGAGGTTCGAAGCTCTATATATATAATTTAAAGATAAAACGTAACCTATAGATACGTTATGTCTAGAATACAGTGTATGTGTGACTAAATTTCAAATCTATCTTCTCGTTGCAGCGTGATTGAGCAACAAACATCTGTAAAATGTAAAAGGACAAGTTAATTTTTATTCCGGCCACGCAGATGAAGTCGCCATCAAAGCTAGTGATAAACAAATAAATTCTCTTTACTGCCAACTCCAATAACATCTTAATGTTGCTATAAAAAAAGAGAAGTACAATGAATCATCATATCAGACTTTAACTGTCCACTGCTGGACATAAGCCTCCCCCTTGAGGGGTTTTCTCAGTAGTTACAACGCTTAGCAGGCGGATTTTTTTTTGTAATGGGTAAAAATGGTATGGTAAACCCGCTTGCGCTAATGGGATACGCTGGCGGAGC